TAAATTTTATTGGAAACTTAGGGGGGCCTGTTTTTGGTCAATTTTCCGGAGAAAGACCGACTGACCGACAGACCAACTGACCACCAAGTGACATGTAGAAGCTCCTGCCCGAGATTAAAAAAATTAACTCCAGAACAATGACAGAGACACGTATAAGGAAGACAATTATTTAAGACTGTTTCCTTTAAGTCTCCTAGCCTCCCTTAGTAGTGTTGCCGAGAATGATCGAGAGTTTAATAAAAAGTAAAAAAAAAAAAAAAGCACTACACAGAACAACCCAAGACTATTCATATACACACTTCGTAATGGAGCCATATTGACAATGGATCAATTTGCAAAATAAGAAAATATACAGTTCTGCAGATATTTTTTTTCCAGGGATTCTCTTCAATGAAAGGAGCAAAATGAATCCAGACATGCCGTCCAGAAAAAAAACCAAGAAACTTGGGGCATGCATGGATAGTCACAGACAAAAGCCCCTATGAAATGGGCAGGGAGATTGTTTACAGTTAGGAAAAATGTAGTTAAAATGATTGGGTGGTATATGTCCTGGCAACTTATCTGGGGGAAAAATAAACTGAAACTTGTCCTGGTGCGCCAAGTTGCAGCATAACTTCTAAAATTGCTTTCTGGGGATTGAGGGTAACTATGCAAACGACTGTATCGTTTTCTTGGTGGAGCAATCTGAGAAAACGGGGCCAATGAATTCAGGCCCTGGCTTGTCATTACCAGGGAACGCAATACAATTGTGCAAATTTATACAAGGAGAGCGGCCGATATTCACAACGATTTTTTGCGGTTAGTATTTTTTTTTCGTGCGTCTTGGTCGGAGAGGGATGATGGTTGGCGATTGTTGGTGTTCTGTTTTTTTTCCCTCTGCCTTTTTTGGGGGGTTGGTTTCGGATATCATGGCAAATTATGATGGAGTGGTTTGAGCAAATGAACCAAATCTAGCCGTCTGTGTGCACTGGTGTTGGTTACATTGACAGGGCTGGACAACAAACTGACAACTTATGAGCACATATATACAAAAATGTAACTTAAGCATTCCAACAAAGATGCTGCTGGTTTTCTGAAATGAAGGGGGGGGGGGGCCTGTCACTCCTCCCCCCCCCCCAAAAAAGAAATCTTCAGATAACCAGGATTGAAATGAATCCCAACAGTTTCTGCCTCGACACCGTCATGGAATCCTACTCAACCAAGACAAATAATGGCCTTGCCATGAAATGGAGCCCAGAAATCTGATTTTCTGGATATAAACAAAAGCCCCTATCAATAACCCAGGAGACATCCTAGGCTTAATAACTGCATAGTATACATGTAGGCACCCAACCTCACGGAAGAGAGTCCCATTCATTGTGTACATAAATGCACAGTCGGGACTAAGACTTTATGTTTGTTATAACCAGAATTTTGTATTAACAGAGTTTGTACTAACGAGATTCAACTGTACTCACTCATTTAACTTACGATAAAATCCACTGCATTTGATGGAAATAAATGGAGCAAATAAACAGAAAATGGAAAATCATTTACAAAACAGACACAGCTCTTATCTGGTGAACTACCTTATACACTCTTATCAAAGGACAATGTACATAACACCACAATGTAATTCGTTTTTGTACATCCGCCGAGATATATATCGTAATGCTAGGTACTGATAAAGTCAAAGTGCAAGTGATACTATGCTAGTTAACAAAAAATACAGTGGCCAGAGTGACCTAAAATGACAGGAAACTAACAAAATGATAGTTCAAGCTTTCCTGTTGAAAATCCTGTGCAAACTTCCCTTGTTAAATCCGGAAACATATTTCACAACTGTATGGCCATACATAAAATGCATCTTTATTACAACATCCAGAAAAGATTTGTACTACTCTCCTGGTAAAACGATGAATTCACTCTTCACTGGAGAAAGCTACATGCTTGCATATTTAAGAATTAATTGTCAAACTTTTGTTTGAAAGATGTCAAAATGAAACTTGACTCCTGAAATTGCAAAGTCAACTATATTTTTTTTAATGATCTATAGCCATACTGTGTCATTATATTTTAATCCAACTTGTTTTTATTTTTAAATAAATGTTCCAAGAATTTAATTGTGGCGTTTATTACGACTGCAGTTTTCATTGTTTTATCTTGAAAAATATCACCTGTTTCTTGATTGTGATCTATGCATTTGGTACACATGATTTTTTTTCTTATCTTTTCATCGTATTTTCACACTAGTATGGAATGCACTCAATCTACTTGACCAGACAGTCAACAGTAGCAATCATACAGTGTGAACTAATACAATCAACAGGCATTTGGCCGCCTTTTGAAACCAAACCATAATGGTTAAGGGAAACTGCCTAACTAGTCACCGAGTATTTGGTATTCGGATCAGCACAGATACGGGTAACTGCCTAACTCTGCAGTGCACTGTTGTTAATGGCCACTGTAACTAGCGCCCTCTTGTGGCCTAGTGCAATCATTGTGTTCCACAATGTTGTTTCCTTCAAAATTCACTGATCACAGTCATAAAGTAATCATTGTTCTTAAAGATAATGCACAGAATGCCAAAAAAAAGCTAGCTCACTAAATGAAATATAAAACTGAATAAAATATCAACAATTTTAAGTAAATAACTTGAACCTTTGCACAGTGAAATAAGTACAAAAGTAAGAATTGCAGGATGAAACTGTGGGGAAAAGTCTTTGTGAAGAAATGTTGGTTATATTTTTGGGACATATATATACTCTGTCCATTCTTGATGGACAGAGTATACTCTCCAAAATATTGAGAAACTCCCTCAAAACTTGTTAAATTCCTCCCTTGTTTAATCAGAACCACACTTGTTCACATAAGCTGATTTTCAACAGGTGTCTGTCATCTATTACATGTAGTTTATCAGCCCCACAATTGTAATTTTTCTTTAAATAAGGTTATCTTGATGTGAGTCTGGCCAATCTGGCGAAAGGACATCTAACAGCCGTTGGGTCATTATGTACATTCTGCATACACAGTACTGTCCATTGATCCTCGGCTGTTGGATGTCGTACTCATCATAAATAATCAAGGCGCGTTGTGATTGGCTGTTCTGATCTCGAATGCGATTTTTTCCCCGCATATGATAGGCTATGTCCCTTACCCAGGCGCGGCGCGCTTCACATGTGAACGTTAACGAAAGGAGATTCTTTTGGTCGGGGAACAGTTGTACACACCCGGAGTTGCACCGAAAATACCTCTTTTTATCTGGTTCGACTTGATCGTATTCTCATTTTCAGTGGATCCTTCGCTGCATAAAGGATAAATCTGCTGTCTTAGGTGAGTTTTTGCTTGTAATTTGAACGAACATGGAAAATATCGGCCCCAAAATTGAAAACCACCGTCTACGTCAGGGAAGTAATTCCAGCTCTACTGGCTGATCTCCCCCGCCACGTCATGAGCCTAGTAAGCTGGAAATTTCAAGCTACCCTCACCCTAGTTATTGCAGAATAATGTTCTGCAAACCCGACCGAAACCGGGCAGTTCTGAAACCGACTTTGGGTCGGGTCGAGTCGGGTCAGTTAAGCCATCTTGTAAAAAACCCAAAACAAACCGAAATTAATCGAAACAGTTCGGAAATTCATGTGGTGCAACATTATTGAAGAGTGACTTTTATTGAAGAGCGACCAACGTCAACCCACCGCACAAATGTGCATGTGGTTTGTTGTCTATCAAGCAGTCGATAACGTGTGGGCCCACCAGTAGGCAACGTTGCTGGTCTTTACCATACTGTCATGATTTAATACTGAGAGACAACGTTTAGGCACAAAAAGCAGACACAGTTGACCAAGCCAGATATTCAGGTTTTTTCAGTCGGCTTGGTTTGGTTTTTGCTTGAAATTTTGTCGGGTTGGGTTGGAGTTCAAATCCAATTCAAATCCAATTTGTGGAGTTCAAATCAGTTTTCAGTTCGGATTTGGTTTATATAATGTTTCGGGTCGGTTTGGCCTGGTCAGCCTGACCAGATGTACATTATTGCAGATATAGTAGTGCATTTTTTGAAATTTTATTTCATTTTATGCAAGTTTATCATCAGTGCAGTCTTGCCACACCATAAACGCAGAACTGCTTTGATTAATATGGAAACATGCATTGTCAGCCTGCTTATTACTTGGGTCAATATTGGTCAAGACCCCCATTGGTTTGTACACAGTAGGCCAGGAGGTGAGGAAGAAAATTTTGACCATTGGTGACCTCTTAAGCAAAGGGAAGGTTAACATGCTATTGTTAACTGTTACGAATTCATGCCCCCCCCCCCCCAAAAAAAAAAAAATTAATGAATCGACCATCATCCCACCTATTTTTTTTTTCTGGCTATAAAAATTAAGAGCAAAATTCTTTTTTTTTAAATAACTTATTTAAAAAATTCCACCACTCCACCCTATACATTTGTATTTAACAGTTGTTGATTGCTGTGATGTGGGATATGACGTTTCTGACACCCGAGGGGCGCATAGCAGCCAAGGGGGTTGAAAACGGCATATCCCTCATCACAGCAGTCAACAATTGTTTTATTATATCGTGCCAATAACTCAAAAAGATAAATGGTTGTAACTTAGGCCTACTCTGTGAGAAATAAATTGAATCACTGTGATGTAACCTTTGATAACTGAAGGTTTTGATGTCCTGTCCGACATGAGACTGAGCATTTGACGTTGCAGTTCTCATTGCGCAAAACTAGTGCGCGGGCAGGTTCCACACGCGCGCGCAACGCGCACAATGAACCCAGTGCGATATCACCCCGAGTACGTGTGTGACATGCGTTTTTATAAACCAGGCACGTGGCCGATCTAGACCAATGAAATGACAGTATCCAAGCACACGATATAACAATTATTTTTTTCCAATGTACTGTAATAGGAAGCATAACATGGTTTCCTTGACTTTATGCTGTGATACGATGAGAATCCCAACCCTACATTATTAGCAAACACACACACACATACACAAAATCAGATTTTACTCACCAGATAAACATTGCGCACACAAGACTGCAGACGACCAGGCAGAAATCTAGATAGCACTTGAAGTGGCTGACTGGGCGGTTGGGATGATAGTTCCTTGATTCTTGACCCTGAGCGATGAGATATTAATGTCTGTGATGGCACTGGGTGACATGAGGGTATTGCAGGCTGAGATGGGAGCCAGTTGTGGCACGTGAAGGATGCTCGTTTGAGGAGGTAAAGTTTGATGTCTGATCGGTTCTCCAGGCTGCCGCTGCTGTGGCAGACCCAGCTGTGGAAGGTTGGTTACATGCTGCGTGAGTGCTCTGATGGACATAGGCGGTCCTATCGGGGGAGGCACACCCATGAGTGGAGCTGGCGCCACACCCTGCACAGACATCTGCTGAGGTTGCTTGGTACCCTGCACTTGGTGCTGCGACATGACGTGCAGCTGGCTTCCATGGTTATCAACGTGAGGATGCTGCAAGGGGAACTTGGTCACCGTTTGTAGCATGTTGGTGGGGGGCAACATGCTGGAGGTGGAAAATGTTGTGCATGCCTGTGGCTGAGGCAGACCTGTTTGAAACTGGTTCATATGAGTTAAACCATTTTGCTGTGATGTGGTTGACAGGTGATAAATTTCAGGAATGGTGGATGATGCCGTTGTGCACTGAAGTAAACCACTGAGTAAAGGCATGTTGCTAGCATGCTGTGTTAGTGACTGGTGCATTGATGGCGGTTGAAGAAAGCCCTGTGGGTTTGTTGGGTTGGGCAACCCCTGTGGTTGGGACTTCTGGGTCAAAGTCGGATTACCAACAACATCATGCGAATGGGGAACAGAGAATGGGGTTCTATTGAATTGAGGAAGGAAACCTCTGGGGGCTACACTTAAGCCGACAGGGACCGGCAACTGGGGTGAGGACTGATTCATTGGGGTACGTATCAGCTGTTGATTGGTTGGCTGGATAGGTGGTGGTTGGCACTGTGGGAACTGAAGAAACTGTGGATTCCTCACGGCAGGAAGCTGTCTGAGCACAATCGGCTTGCCTGAGAAGTTGTAGCCAGTACTGGCCGGCTCTGGAGTGATGCTGGAGCTTTCAGTGACAGTTTCGTGGGAAATAACTTCCAGAGTAACCTCGTCACCTTCAATGTGCTCTGGCTGGATGATGGTGATGGAGTGAGATGGAAAGTCAGAGTTACTGTAAGTGTTGATAGAGGGACCATGCTTGGAAGCATTCGGAAGGGAAACAGCTGGGGCAGAAGTATGAAGTAACTGCGTTGAAACCACATTTTGGGTTGGATTTCCAAGTGATTGTTTCTGCATGGAATTTGTAGAATCTGTGCTGGGATCTAGAGCACAAGGAAGAGGTGCTTGAGAGTTTATGACACTCAAGAGCATTTCAATATCGCTGGCACAGGAACTTGCTCTCGGACTCACCTCGCTGAAGATGCTGTTGTTGTTCTGGTTTGGGTTAGCTGTGTGCCTAAATGGGTCAGGTATGGAAGCTGGCACTGTGCATGTTGTCGGTGGCGGGGGAAGCTGCTGCAGCTGCAGCACAGCCAATGCTGCACTTTCAATGGTGGGTGTGTCCTGTTGGTGCTGTCTCATATGACTCATATAGGACTCCTTCCGCATGAAAGAATCTGTGCATTTATCACACACAAATGGCTTCTTGCCATTCAGCTGAACTGTCGATGGTTTGGGGTTTCTCTTCCTTTCCACTTTGCCAGCCTCCGATGGCTTTTTCCGTTTGACCGCTTTCTTTGGCTGCTTTTGTTTTGCAAGATCAGGATGGTGCTTCTTAAGATGACAGGCGACCTGACTGTGATATTTGGCCTTGTAAGAGCAGTGGGGGCACTTTTGAGGTGTCTCCTTGCTGTGCACACGCTTGTGTCTGCGAAAGGCCCTCTTGTTTTGACAGAGGATGTCACAATCCATGCACTTGATTGGGTTCTGTGAGGGATGAGTGCGTTCATGTTGCCGTAATTGTTTCTTGGTGCAGCACGTAAAGTTGCATTCCATGCACTGGAAATTCTTCTCCCTCCAGTGATTGTTCTTCATGTGCGACTTCAGATTACTGTTCAGTGCACTGGCGTAAGGGCACAGGGAACATTTGAACGGCTTTTCACCTGTGTGGATTCGCATGTGACGCCGCAAGTCAGTCTTAATTTTAAACTTGGCAGAGCACTGCTTACAGTGGAACGGCGTGTCCCCTGTGTGGATCCTAAGATGAGTAGTCAGTTGGCTGGAGTTGCGGCTGGCATAAGAGCAGATCTGGCATTTGAAGGGTCTTTCTTTGGTGTGAGTACGCATGTGTTTCTTCAGACTACCACTGTCCCGGCCTGCGTAAGGGCACTCCTCACACTTGAACGGTTTCAGCCCGTTGTGGATGCGAATGTGAAGCTGGAGCTTGTCCTTCCGTGTGAAACGGTGCTGGCAGAAGCTGCAGGTGAAAGGCCTGTCACCCGTGTGTATCCTCTTATGACGGATGATATCTTTCAAGTGTGCGGTTGCAAAGTCACAACCTTCATAGAGGCACTTATAGCATTTTTCACCCTTTGCCTTACTCTTTACTTCAGTGGATTTTTTACCACCAGCAGTGGTGCCTTGAGCACTTTTACAGTTTCCAGTTGTCCCCTTATTTCCTCCAGCTGTAAATGGTGTTAACGCAACACTGCCGGTTTGCGGAAGCCCCGGAATACACAAGGGAGCCGAGTTGTTCAAAATTTGGCCGGTGTGTGCAGAGGTGCTTATGTCGCAGGGCTGGGTGGGAGCGGCATTGCTACATGTAGGTGCTGCTGGTTGAGCAACCTTAGGTGATGTCGCCAAAAGAATGGGTTTTCGCTTTTGTTTTCTGGTTGCGGTGGTGGTGGAAGGGGTGCAGGCAGGCCCACTGGTAGTCGTCACTGGAGTTATCACATCACCAGACTGACGTATGGACACCAATGAGGCTGCTTTTAACACATTGGCTATAACAGGCAAATGAGAGTTCTGCTGGGTCTGGCACCCTGACCTCTTATGACCGAAGAAGGCTTCTATTGATGTAAACTGCGCCTTGCATCTTCCACAGATGTGAACATCATCCATAGGGTCCATATTGACTAAGAGAAAGAGAGAAAAACTACCATGAGGATAAAAGTCACATTTTGATGCCTGATAGTACTGGCAATACTGCAATGTACTGGGTTTTTTTCTGAGTCGATATTGCCAATATGATGACAAAACTGTCAACAAAGTAGAGAATTCTCAATAATGATATGCTAAAGGCGGATAACGTAGGTTAGCAATCTTCTAAATGCTTTGAATATAAACACACAGACTGTTAGTCTTTGACAAATATGCATTCAGGATAACCAGTTGTAGCACTAACATAACATGCAAAGCTTCTCAATGCGATGGCTGTTTGTGCAACCGTAAGTAGGACTTCCAAAGCTACATGTACATCATCATACCTACCTACATGTACCGGTACATGTAGACCAAGTAATGGGGCACTAGAACTCTCTCCCCCCCCCCCCCATTTTTTTTTTACTTTGATTGGTCGTACTTGTACGTTTGTAATCACAAGTACATTTTGAATGATATTAGGGAGTCAGGAACTAGGGCAACTTTTATGGGTGGAAACCAGTTCAAGCTAGTTCCAGACTCCCTTTTACCGTTCGAAATGCACCTGTGTTTACAAACGTGATCCAGTCATCTCCTTATAATAATCGATGCATCGCGCTCGGTAACCGAATCCCAAGTAAACTTCAGTACAACTACATCGATGTCTACTTGTACCTCATGTGTCGTATCCAGTAATTTGTAGGCCATTTTGAGGGTGAAATCTGATGTTTTTGTTGGGCAATGTTGGGTCAAGGACAAAATTGTGTTGCTCGGCATATATGGATTAGCTTGGACCCTACCATCGCCAGACCATGTCTGAATGTTGAAAAGGCAATAAGTTGGGTCCAAGTTACTCGGACTAGTATGTCATCAAGTGCTACGTGTTTCCAATGTCTAATATCTCATATGGTCAGATGGTGTAGGCCTACTTGTTACTCAATACTAGCCCCACTTGTGTGGCCTCGGTATTGCTGCACTGTATGTTCGGCCACACGCCTGGTTTTCCAACCTACTGAGGACTTCAGTCCAAAGCCTGGCGCACCTTTTTTTTTTACATACCACTGCACACTGTTGTATTCTATGATGTCTTTTGCCCTCCGGGTAGATAAGGTAATCTTTCTTCAATTTTTTGAGAAATTTAGACATCTCTCTGGAGTCCTCATGTGCAAGTTTCGGACTAAACTCCTCAGTAGATTGGGAAACCAGACGTGTGGCCTAACGTACAGCGTAGCAATACAGGGCCACACATAGTCCCATAAATGTGACGAAAATACTGGACTACCTCCGTATTTAACGTCACACATCCACCTGTGGTATAAACGCGGAGCGTCCCCGTTGCTAGGGGAGCCGAAAATCAGTTAAAAATCGAAATTATTTTGTCAGAAGAAAAGCAATCCAGCTATTAGTATGACTGCTAAATAGCACAAAACCGTTAAATTCGGTACCTTCAGAGGTCTAGTTATCCAAAAATCATGGTAATTCGTCAAAGAATGCAGACGGTTTTGAAAAAGCATGGCGTCTGTGATATTTACCATACTGTTTCCCAGCAACCCTAATTATAGTCAAAAGGCCAATGGGGTCAGGGAACCAGACAAGAGCTTTAGTCATTTACTGAGCGTGCGTCAACATTGGCAAAGCGCACAGCGGCTGTTGCCTGTCATTCCAAAATCTTTGGCGCTCTGTTAAGTACCCGGATGCAATACGCGGCCGCGGATGAAGAGCGCGCACTTCACTGCAGAGGGCTTCACTGTACCATTTCGCGATGCAAAGCATACAATCTCCCCTCCATCCCAATTGGTCAAGCCGAATGTAGAGTTGACCTGCTGAGGTCACGCGAAGATCAGTGCACGTGCAACGTACCTAAACTAGCAGGAACTGTCCTGCTGTATTCGTCGGATCGGCAACGCGAGGCTGGTGAGTAAAAACTCAGATTTTCCACCCAAAAAATTGTCCTATGATCCTGTCAATCATGTGAAAATATTTAAGAGTTATGGGTCAACAAGCTCAACTTTTTGGTAGATTTGTGTTTCAAAAAGTGGAATTTCAGACAAAGGTATTTCGTTTATCAAAGGGCATTTCCAAAAGCCATAGAGTGCTGACCCCCGAATTAGAAGGCTCTCAAAAGGCTGAATGACAGCAGCCTTCTGATTTCAGAAGTAAATACGGAGGTAGTCCAGTATTTTGGGACTAGGCCACACAAGCATGACAAGTGGGGTTAACTTGTTACTAGCCCCATAAATGTGGCCTAAATACTGGACTGCCTCCGTAAACATAGGCCACACATCCACATGTACAAAAAAACATGTCGACTTTGCCAAATTTTGATTTTCACATTTAGGCTTACTTTGTAGATTTTTTTGCTTTAGAAGCATTCTCACCCTCTATATAGGCTAATCAGAAAGTGCTGCCTTTTTCAGATGTTTAATTTTTGTGAAATTTCATGTTGAAATTTTGATACGCAAACGTGTGCAAATGTATCCGGAAATTTCACGAAAAATGGACATCTGAAAAAGGCAGCACTTTCTGATTAGCCTATATAGAGGGTGAGAATGCTTCTAAAGCAAAAAAAACCGTAAAAAGTAAGCCTAAATGTGAAAATCAAAATTTGGCAAAGTCGACACGTTTTTTGTACATGTGGATGTGTGGCCTATGTTTACGGAGGCAGTCCAGTAAATAGGCCACATTTATGGGGCTAACTTGTTACGTGCATGAGGGCACTATACGATCTACCGGATTCAGAACACAAAAAATGTGGAACCAGTTCACGGCTTTTTAAACAAGTTCAATTTAAGTTCAAACACATCAAACATTGAAAACAAAACAAGCTAAAAATAAAATGGGCCTAAAAAAAAAGTAAAAATAAACTGAGGTTCGCTGATCTCCTATCAACTTTCAAACTGAAGATGATAGATACAGGAGCCAAACCATTTATAAATATACCCATTTATTCGAACTGTTTTTTATTTATTTATTTATTTATTTACTTTATTCGGCCGGGTAGGCCGCCTGTGCGGAATAAAAACTGCTAGCCCATATGTGTCCGAAAACTGGGCAACTATACTTTAAATTATTTGATGAGGTAGGGCTATAACTAGGCCTACACTGAAATCCAATTTCGATTATTTATGAAACAAATACATACGCTGGATTGAAACCTCTACCTGCCCAGAATTCATGGTGTTGACAACACGCAAAGTCTAAACTACTTGCAGTTGCAGAAGGCCTACGCCGAACGAACAGCAACGAGCCATGATTTTTCTTTTACACCGTGTAAGTTACTGCGCATGTCCCTTGACCCAGTTTAATTGTACACAAACACTGCACTCGCCTCGAGGGTGGAGCTCTCTCTAATTTCTACCGAAGTTCCAATTTCTGCTTTTCTGCATGTCTGCCTTTCGGCTACGTTTTAATAAAATTTGGGGTTTTTTTCACTTTCGAAAATAAGAATTAAAACACTAACTACATTTTAAAATAAAAACACCATTTCATCTAGTGACCCAAAGCATGAATTATCAAACTTCTGGAAGTTATTGCGTTTGTGATTCGGCAACCGAACCACATCATCATGGAGCAACGAAACTGCGAATAGAAAGTGAAACTCTCCAAACGAAATAAAGCGAACCAAATGAAACAAAAACAACAAATGCATAAAACAAAAAGTAAAAGATAACATTTTGTAATCTAACCTGGGGCGGTTGAAGCGCAAGTTATAGTCGCCTATAATTTATAAACGATGGTATATGGAAGGAAATATTTTGATCAAACTTCAGTCGATCTCCCAGTACTCTTGAATTTAACAAATAAAGTTATTTTCTCCCAAACGAATCTTAGCTTATATTATTTCAATGAAAAATTAATAAATACTGTGTTTTTAATTCTAGGCATCTGCAACCCTCTAAAAAAGGCTATTATATCTTGGCTGCTTTAGCGCCTGTTATTACGCACAAAAAGAATTTCTGATTGGGTGCAATAACTAAACGCGGGCAGATTATTTTCGTTCGACGTCTCGTTCAAATGTGAATAACTTTTGTATTGCTTATTGCTAATTTTATAGTTGGAAAACTGGAATTCAAAAAAGAAAATTTGGGGTGGAAGTGTGGAACTCAAAATAGCGAGGGGCGAGCAAGTCTCAGAAGTTGTAATTCGACTGTCAAATTAAAGGCTTTTTAAAACAACTGATATCGAAGTATTAATAAATAAGGCACAACAAACCACACTTTTTTCAAATTGCATGCAATTCCATATTTTTTATTGTGAGGTATTAACTTTCCATTTTCAATCACAAAAAACTTGAATGTTTAAGCCACTCAGATTAGAAACATTTCTACAATTCTGGAAAAACTACAACATGCAACAATTATTATATAACTTTTCGTTTATAAATTTCTGTTTGTAATTACATGAGAGATGGACTACCGTGACTGAAGATACCTTTCTTCTTTTTAAACAGAAAAGCTATGATGAGCAGTTTTTGTTATCAGAGGAGATCAGAGTGATGTCCACAAATTTCAAATTAATGAAAATATGAATTTGGCAGAAGTTTAAACATTGTATTAGTTTGAAAGGTGCACCAAACTATCGTGATGCATTGCTCAAAGAGGCTAACATTATAATGGATGTCAATTATGGTTTTGATCAAAAATTCACAGAATGTTTGATCCAGGCTTTAGCGAATTTGAAATTGGTTTCAAAAACCTTGGATACATACCACTGACTGTATACCTGCTTCCAATTTTGCAGAGTTAGTTTGGAAAAACACCATCTGTTCATCTAAATGTGTTTTTGTGAAGCAATATTTGTAACAAATTAAACTACTATTCAAGACACTGTTACATTTATTTATTTATTAAGTAAATGTAATATTTATATTTTGTACAGCAGCAAATTTGTACTTACAAGGATAACAGTCACAAAACAAATGTGTATGTATTATGACATTTCAATCTCACAGCAAGAAATTTGTCAATTATTGTTCATAAAAGTCGCAAGACTTTGAACTGTGTGGAGTTTACATCAAGATTTACATTTGAATTTTTAAATTAAAAAGTACACTTATACTTTGAATCAGACAGAAATGCATGTTTGTAAAGGGGTGACTATTGAAAAGAAACAATTCCCAAAAGCTATACAATTATTTGTTTTCCTTTTTTACACTTGCCAAAAGCATTTCACTGCTAATTTTGTTTCCATATGTGTGGGGGAAACCCACTACAGACAATTAACAAATCTGATTTCCTTTTTAGCAAGTATACAAATACTAATGGTTTCATATCTGTGGAAATCCACAGTGTTGTAGTTGTGATGGACTTATCTTTAACACTGGAAACACATAAGGCATTCCTCCACAAAAGAACGCTTTCATTCTAGACTCTTCTTCTAATTACAGGCAATGTTAAATAAGCAAAGTCTACTTCTCAAATCTCAACCACACAAACTTTTATAAGATGAATACACTGAGCAATACAATTTCTAGACTAAACAAGCACCAAAGAGACAACCGGCTCTTACCACAAGATGCCAACCACATTTGCTGTTCAAACACTACAGAAAATAAAAGTATTTTAAGAAGATGGCCAAGTACCCAGTTATACTAACACAAGACAATTTAATTGGTTTCTTTGAAATTAACCCATGATTCAAAGAAATAAAGAAATTGTAAACAAATAATTTCAAATTTTTACCCTGAGCTACCAATTCTATAAACTTTATAAATGTACATGAATACAATAAAAATAAAAAAAGAGATTTTTGATATTTTTGTTACACAAACTCTATCTGCCCTGCACTGACCCGCACAGTAGATTTTATGTCCAAAATCATGTGACATGACCAAGTGACAGATTATTATCGCACGGCGTATGAACAAGTGATGGTTTCTAAACAGCACTGTATAGCAAACACAACACAAATTTGCACAGCCTTAGAAATATGTTATTGAACAACATTACCCGGATCAAATGTACTTCTTTCTCAGTTAAAAGTCATTAAGAAATCCTTTTGTTATTCACCAGTGATTCAGCAAACCTTGAAAAAAAGAGAGAATTTTGCCTTTGTTGAAATAAATGGTGCTCGGTCATCCGCGACTGCAGAGATGCATATAAGTCATCAATGGAAATCTAAAGTAAAACCCTTTAAGACAGAGAGAGAGAAAGTGAGCCACTTTGGCAGTGTTCAAGCTCATAACTTTTACATAATTTATTACCCCTTTATTTTTTTGTCACCTTTTTTTGGGAGACGCCCTGTAGAGCTTTTTGGCACATGGAAACGGTACTTTTTTGGCAATGGGATAAAGTTCTTGCCCAAGATTTGTATCCATGGGTGTGGTGTTGCAAATACAACGAATCATTTGTAAAATTTGCAGGTAAATATAATATAAATTTGAATGCCCTTCACCTTACAAAATTACACATTTCATAATTGCATCCGTGGAATTTGTCAGACTGGTTCGGCAGACTTGGCCAATTTGGTAAAATTATAAAAATGCACTGCGACAAACACAATTGCAGCAACTTATATTTTGTACAGTTTGGGTTAGTGTATCTAAACTATATGAATGTAGTTTGGGTTAGTGTATCTAAACTATATGAATGTAGTAGAGAGACTACACTTCTATATCTATGGAGAAAACAATTTAATCTAGAACTAACTGACTAATTCATACAACATTCACAGTAAATAATCACACTCGGGAAATTCTGGAAAACCAGCACAGTAAACTACTGTTTTCAACACAAAGCAAGAGATATGGTCCAGTCTTTCCAGCAGATTTGAAGTTTGATTACAAATTTTGATACTACTGTCCTTTTTTTTAGTGAATTCAAAGGATGTGTGGGAAAATTTCTAAGACAAAATGTGCACCAAATGTTCGACTGGATTTAATTTGCACTAGTCACGCCATCTACAAATGTAAGCCCCGTTGAAGTGAATAAAAACACACAAACTTAAATAAACGGGTGAACTATTTAGCTAAGATGATATACATATGATATTCAATAAATAAATATTAAATCAAGGAATAAATATAATTAATTAAATAATTACTAACTGTACACTGGCATTTGCATACAAGTAGCACACTTAAGCTAATATGTGGTAAACACTGCAGCATGATAAATGATCTAAAAGCGGTAGCTAAAAGCAGACCAATCAGATGAGTAATGGCTGGACCAGTCACGCGAGGACCGAGCCACAAATTTCCTTTACTCAAGGCAAAAAATTCTTCCTCAACTAGGTGACTTAAGTTTGTACTTACTTAACAACTTCAACAACTTCAACAAATGCATTAACTTAATCTTCTTGGGGAAATGCCACGCATCATGTGTGGAAAAGGCTGCCAAATATAAGTCTGAAAAATCTTCAGTTTGTCTGATTCACAAATAAGGCATACCAAATGATATATACCCATAACCCTGGAAGAAATAGTCACCTGAAAATATTTTCGATTTTTGTTGAGGCGTCATCAGCTTTCTCTATAGCCTTCTTTCAAGGCACAACTTTTCCATTACATTTTTTTATGATCAATGTCTTTAGCATAAAAAAAGTCACAACGTAGACTTTTTTGAGGAGATACCATCATTACATCGTCCAATGACGTGGGCATTTGGCAACTTTATGCTTCACACTGACAACACAGGTTCTGTGTTTAGCAAACACCAGAACTGTCTGGTACGATTACAAGTTAAACTCTATTTACACACTTAAAGGAATATTTGACAGAAACAAGACCAGAATCTGTGACGTTTTTACAACCCTGAATGATATGAACAAAAAGAAAAACACAAAACCAACAAACAATAAAAGCAAAAACCAAAAACTTTTAACTTTGAGTCCAAGTATGCACTGAAATAACTAAAAACCGTTTGTTCATCCACAAAAACACTCCTAAGTCTTTGAAGTTTTAGATTAAAAAAAAACATGCGCAAGTCAGTTTTAACACTGTGTGGGTGCATTAGTACATGCCATTCATGATACTAATCTAAACGCCGCAAAAAAGAAAGGAAAAAAAGTCCACACTCATTGGAGGGGTCATAATTTTGAATGTGATCGTCTTATGATAACATCATTTATATAGACCTTTGGGGAATGTTGTTAGCTACATTTTGATACCCCGTTTGCTACCAAAGACTGTAAATCGTCCAACATTGACAACATTTTATGAAAAATGATGCAATTTGAAAAGTTGCAAATTGAAAGATTACGCGAGGAGAAATTGCTAAGCGCAAACACACATGCCCGTAATTGGCCCCCATCGACTGCACAGTGCAACTTTTCAAACCACATCATTTTTCATAAACCGTTGTCAATGTTGGACGATTTACAGTCTTTGGTAGCAAACAGGGTATCAAAATGTAACTAACAACATTCCCCAAAGGTCTATGTAAATGATGATATCATGCGACGATCAGATTCAAAATTATGACCCTCCAATGAGTGTGAACTTTCTTTTTGGGGCAGTATTTATTATTGTTGGTGTTCTGCATGTGCAAAATGGCTGCCACTCTTTAAACTGGAACTAAACTTACTACACTATCCAACTCGATAGTGCAGTAACAGTTATCAAATTAAGACTGGAAATGTTTTGCGACATGTACCTTTTCACAATGTCAAATCTCCAGTGGAAACAAACATTGTGCTTTAGAGCTGAACTTGGTTTTTTTTAAATGGTGCATAAACTCATTTCTTACCCATGAGTCTTATCTCTATAGGAACACTCAGGAGCACACTTGATTCAACATGACTAACACAGCCCAAACATCTAGAGCTCAACCTATTCAACCTATTCATTACATTTGGCACAAGTTCAATAATATACACTGTCTTTTCGCAAAGTTGCTTTTGTAATCTACATATACTTATATGTACAATATGAACAGGAAACCTGACCGGAATTGTGAAAAGGAAACTAAATCGAACAATTCTCTGAAATGGCCAAAACACAAACACAAAAAACAAGTTTTGAATACAGTTACAGAATATGGTGCAGAGACCCTCAAGCAAGTAGAAAAAAAATGGAGCAAATTACAAGCAGCTAAAATTGCCTAAGATAAAAAAAAATGCATTTTTTTTTTTTTTTACAACTGTGACCACACACACACAAAAACACTGTACCTTTAGTTTGTACATAACTGGTATGCACCATATCTGTGGCATGAATTTGTATATACATGTATGCTACAGCACGCAAAAAAAAAATGGAACCAAAATTCAACCCTGCAAAAATGATAAATTTATCAGGAAAATATACGTCAACAGACGTAGAAAACAGTTACATTACATGCATTTTAAAACATATTTTATTATATACAATATTCGCATCTGCACTTACAAGGATGGGTACAGGTTAAAGATCCACCCTTTTCTGAACCCTTTTTTTAAACTGTGGTTTTGTATTGAGACAGTCCCAATCACCTTTGATGCTGTTTGAAGTACATTACAATGTACATGTATGTGGAAACTGTCCTCCTTCAAAACCCTACTTCTCCATAATACAGAAAGTATCCCTGCAAGTTACATCATCTGGCTTAGGCCAAAAAAAGGTCTCCAGTTTCTGGTCCGGGGTTGGCTCCAAAAGTGGTGCGGCGACACATTTTTCCGGTTTTCTTTCACTTTCTCCCCCTCCCCCCCAAAAAAAGATGCTTGAACAAGCCGCTTTGTAATAATTAATACATGATGGGGAAAATAAATTGTATCAACAAGTTCTGCTGGTTTGAAATATGTTTCTAGAAATGTGAAGTAAATTTCTGAAAGAGGTAATTGTAATCTTGTCTTTTGTCAACTCTTCATTTCATGAGACCAAGAAAATGACAATGGGCCTGTCAGGAGTTGTACTAAATAGCCAGTGGCGTAGCCAAGGGGGGCGTGGGGGGGGGGGGGGGACAGCCCCCCCATGAAACCTCATCGCCCCCCAGTCGCCCCCCCCCCCCCACTGAGATTTTGATTTTCTAAAAAAAATTATCATTGATCTACATGAAGGCCCCCCATGAAATATTCCAGCCCCCCCCCCCCCAGCGCCCCCCAACTGAAAAATTCTTGGCTACGCCACTGTAAATAGCACACCAAATGAAATAAATATATGAGGCAAAAAAGTGGTCAGCTCAAGAATGCAATGGAAAAAATATTCCCACGAGGTTAAAGGTTGAAATAATGCGCACTGCTCGATGTAAAATGTTTCACCTCATGAAAATATGAATTCTATTGCACCTTTGCTGTTACACTGCAGGTGAAATATGCCCAAATTGATCCTGAAATTCAGTCACCGACTGTTCTATGTCGTCGCAATGTCGACCTGTGGGCAGCCTTATAGGTACGAAGCGTTTACAACTTTCAGATGTACATTGTACGACCAACTTTCTTCCTGTCTGGTTCCCAGACCTAAAATGCAAACCTGATGATACCGTCAGACAATGGTATCCGATTAACATTTACTACAGAATATATGGGGGCCTGGAGAGGCCACATGAGCTTATTAATTGTTCATACCCCCATCTAAAAGATATGTAAATTGCGCTGCAGGAGGATTCCAGCCAATCCAGCAATTTTGGTAGCATTTTGACATCGTTTCTTATTGAAAAACCTTTTCTTTTTGCCGAAGGGCAGGTCTATAGCGACATGCAAACTGACCCTTTTTTGGCCTTATTTTGGCAGTGGATTTTTCTTTGACTATACCTGGAGCCCTCTCCAGTCCTTTTCTCATTTTCCATTTGGCCACCTCCTAGCTCTGTTTCCTCTCCGTTTCCAGAATCTCTGACGGTAAGTGTGTCTTCAGGTGCTCTACCAATTGAGCTCTGTCTGTACTCTGGAAGCCGCAATCTTGACAACAGAAGGTCACTAGGTTATGCATGACCCCTGACCTCTCATTTGGCCCTTGGAATGCTGGGGTGCTTATTGGCGGGGTTGTGCAGGTATCACTTACAGTGGTGCTAGTGCTGCTGCTGTTTGATGTTGTTGCTGTATCAGTGATGATGTTTTGATTACCTTTGTAACTGTAGTTTGGATCACTGGCATGCCTCCACATATGAGACTTGAGGGATGGAAGGTAGTTGCAGGTGTAGCAGCAGAGCTTGCACTTGTACTGCTCAGGAAGCTCTGATGACAAGCAGTCGGGGCGCCAGTCAGGCTGCATGTGCATCCTCATGTGGGATCGCAGACTCTGAGGGTAGGCACCAGTAAAGCTGCACTGCTGGCACTTGTATGGCCTATCTTTGGAATGAAACTTCATGTGGTTCTTAATTCCATTCTTGGCACTGGATTTGTAGTCACACAGGTTGCACTTGTAGAACTTGGGCTTGTGGTGGCACTCCTTGACATGATCTTGGACCCCCTCGGCTGACTCAGAAGTAAAGCCACACTCTTTACAGGACCGTATCTTGCGCACCGGACAGCTGAGAGTGTGCAGCAGCAACGTGTTGGTGTTGATGAAACCTTCCCCACAATGAGAACACCTGACTGGAGGTTTCCCGAGATTGCCATGGACAGTTTCGCAGTGGCTGTCATAGTCTGCCCAAGTCAACATTGTAATGCCACATTCCTCACACTTGGGCACCTTCAGAGATGCATGTGACTGCCTGTGAACATGCAGCTCATTCTTCGTTTGAAAGAAAGCTGAGCATTCTGAACATCTGTGGAGTTCCTTGTAGTGCTCCAAGATGTGAAGCCTGAGGTTGTCCAAGGACTCAAAGCACTCCTTACAAAGAGGACAGCGGAAGGAGTTGTGTACCAAGTGCACCTTCAGATGTTGCTTTAAGGAGCTGTAGGTTTCAGATGTCTTGCTGCACAGCTTGCACTGGTATGGCTTGTCACAGCCACTGACAACATTCATAAAGAAATTCACAATGCTATCCTCATCAGAGCTTATGTCTGAAGGCATCTCATTTCTCCCCAGTTTTGTTTCTGGGTCACTGACTGGCCTTCCCTGCCCATCTGTTGTTGACTCTGTACATAAGCCCTCCTTAATGATGGGAAGGGGCATCTCCGCATTTGATTTCTCCTCATGATGACAGATTCGCTTTGCCCCGTTAGACATATCACTGGCTGTCAAGTCTGCACCCCGTTTCTGTCCGCCACTTAAAGGTTCAATTTCTGTGTTGTTGTTCAATTGCTTTTCCTCGATCCTCTCACACTGTTGTGCAATTTGAAGGCTACCATCCGTACTTCCATGGTCTGAACTTCCGGGATTAATAATTGAACCTTCCTTCCACTTTGACTGTGAAACTGTCTCACATGTGATTGCCTGGATAGATTCTTGGCATGACATCTGCTCTGACTCGCACAAAGTTGACTTAGCTGGATTTTGACTTCTTGGAGGAGTTTGCTTAATTGCATGTTCAACAACCGTTTCAGTGAGATCCATATCAATGTGCATCAACCGAGACCCTGATTTCATAAGATGTTTTGTTGGATTTTCCTGCGGTTTTACAGAGCTGCTTACAGATTCTTGACCCTGATATGGTTGATGGAAGAAGTGTCCACATTCTGATGGTGATGAAGTCTCAAGAAAGGAAGGCACAGATTCCACTTGTCCAGGTGTAACACCGAGGTTCTTCTCGTCATCTTTAATCTCATCACAAGAATTTGGGGTATCATCTCTTCTCCAAGTGTTTGCAGCTTGTGGAATTGTTAGATTTTTACTATTTTCTTCAAAGCCCTGTTGTGGAACCTCGCTTTCACATTTTTGTGGACATTTTCCATCATTCTCTGCATACTGGGCAGTAGCCTCAGTCACCTCCTCATAAAGTGGCATGGAGCTAAGAAGAATCTCAGAGCTCAGATCAGCGGCAGAGACTTTGGTGTAAGACTCGGGCCTGTCCGCAGTCCCTACTGACTCCCTTGTCCTGTTAGAGGGTGGGATGAACACATCGTCAGTGGTTTCCAACTGTTCCTGATGAGGCAGTGCTGAGTTCTGCTCAGTGACAGCCTCTACCACAGCAGCAGGCTCAGGAATTGAAACGTCTAGGTCCAGGAATAACATCAGTGGGTCAACTGGATCAATGACCAACACTTGAGGTTCAAGCTCATTGCTCTTGGACCCCTTTTCCAGTGCAGGCTTGCCATTTTCTGCAAGATTTCCACAGCGCACTGTATTGACGCCATCACTAGCTTGAAATTCACATGTCTTGCTTGATGAGGTATTCTGACGAGGGGCTGAGGGACACTCACTTTGGTTTTCTTTCTCTGAAGTTGGCTGACGGTATTGTTCTGTTGCAAATGGTTTCTTGCCTGCGTCATTCGCTTTGTTTGATTTCTGGCTGAGTTTTTGCTGATTCTTTTGGAGGAGGAGTTCCTTGATGTGGGACACAGAGGAAGGAAGGATGTTGATACCTTCACAACGACAGCTGGATGATTCATCTGATGAATGTGTCGGACCACAACAGCATCCGTGAGACATATTTGATTCATGTTCCGCAAGGACTTCCTTCTCATTGGTGTCATCTGTGCCCCTGACCCCATCATACATGTAGGCTGTGCTTTCTCTTGCTGTCTCAGCTGCTTTGATGCTGCTGCTAGCTTCTAGTGGGTATGATTTACCAGAAGGGGATGTCTGTGAGGGTGCACTGGAAAAATTTCTCTTGAGATATTCATCATCATCCACCACCGGATAGGAGCATCCTTTCTCTCCAGCATGGCGCCAGGCATGCGCCTTGAGTGTGGCCAATCTGTCGCAGAGGTAACCGCAAAGTAAACACTTGAAAATGTAAGGCTGTTCTATGTCTGTGGTCTGTGTTGGCAAAGAAGGGCTAAGCACTGGTTGTGACATCTCATCTGAATTCCTCCCTGGATTTGAGGTCGGTATCATTCCCGTTGAATTTGATTTCCTCGTTTTGGCACTGGTCTTGGAGATGGATGGAATATGCTCCCACATGTGGTTGCGGAGGATATCTTCACACTGGCACGAGAAACCACACTCAGAGCACTTCAGGACAAGCTCCCGGTGCATGTCATGGTCCTTCATGTGCTGGCGGAGTCCAACAACCTTGTCTGCCACAAAGGGGCAAATGCTGCATCTGTACACACGGGGTGCATGGTGAACAGTGGCATGCTCCTGAATCCGCATCTCAATAGTGGTGAAGAAGTCACAGAATTTGCACTTGCAGATTTTGGCATCTTTATGCTTGGACAACAGGTGATAGAGCAGGTCCACGTAGCCGACAGCAACATGACTGCAGAGTTCGCAGTTGACTTTTGTCTCATCCGCGCTTGTAAATGTAGGTAACCCTGTCAGCTGACCTTTGACCGTCTTACCCTTGCATTCCTTCAACTTCTCAGCATTCTCACAGCATTCGCACAGCACAGCCGCCTTACTCTGCAACTGTTTGGCACTCAGGGCAAAAAGGCAAGGACACTTGGGACACTTGTAGAGTGGATCCCCCCTCTTTGGCGAACCCATTCGTTTTGACTCACGACAAACAGATGGGGTGCTCCCTCCCTGCATTCTTTCACTGTCGTTTACCAACTCAGTCAGTTTCTCGATTACGACCGACAACACGTCATCTTTGCTGGGTGGGGTGTTTGCGTGGTGTCGATGTGGAGATGTACTGCTCATCTCTGAGCCTGTGTTCTTACTTATGCAGCCTGGCCCATTCTGTGTCTCGGGATTGAACGTTACCTTTAAGCATCTGGATTCCATAACCCTTGGACTGGATGATCTGGTGCCTGTCAAGAGAAAAATACCAAAGGTTTAAGAGCATGTGCTTATAGATACAATGTTTAAGTTTAACTAACCTATATTTCAAGTACAAGCAAAACATACATATTTTAATTAGTCACAAGCCATTATAAGATGGAATTTTTTCGTCGGGGTGATATAAATCAAATTAGGTTTTGCCCTTCACCGACATTTTTAAACACTGTATATTCAGTGTGTTACCTCCCGAGTGAAAGTTGGAAAAAAATCACTCGGGCGGGACTCGAACCCACGACTTCCTGCTTTCTAGTGCAGATGTCTTACCACTTGACCACCGAGCTAACGGGATCGGGTGGCCGGTTCGAATCTGATGTACATAGCAGCGGGTACCGCATAAACTATTATAAGATAGCCATTAAAGAAAACTAGTTATTAGGGATAATAATTTGTCTGCAGTGTGTGCATTAACCCTTAAATAGGTTGTGGAATGCTCGAAGACATTTCTGTCATTTTTTGGGTATATGTAGCCTAAGGTGTGATGAAATAAAAACGACTATTGTTTCTGTCATGAAATGAGTACAAAGGGTACTTTTGAGAGCTATTTTTCAGGCCTTTTTCGACCCGAACGTGCAATTTGTGTAAAAGTAGTCGTTGCGGGCAGCAAACAAAACACAGTCAATCGTGACGTAATAAACAGGACTCGTTTATGCTACTCTGCATCGGGAGTCCTGTTTATTACGTCACGATTTACTGTGTTTTGTTTGCTGCCTGCAACGACGACTTTTACACAAATTGCACGTTCGGGTCGAAACAGGCATGTCAGGACTTGAAAAATAGCTCTCAAAAGTACCTTTTGTACTCATTTTATGACAGGAACAATAGTCATTTTTATTTCATCACACCTTAGGCTACATATACCCGAAAAATGACGGAAATGTCCTCGAGCATTCCACAACCTCTTTAACCCCCTTGAGTGATTTATTAGTAACCTTCCTCACTCCTTGATGAGCATTCGATTATCCTGAATGACCCGTGACCATACCATTGTGCGCATACGCAGTTGAAATACATTGTACAGAACAGGCTTACTGGTCCCAGCCCCACTTAGTAGGAGTCCAACTCAGGGCCCGATTTCATAGCACTGCTTAACAGTAAGCAGAAAAGTTGTGCTTACTACAGCAGAAAATCATGCTGCTGCTTAAGCACTATTTCATGCTAATGGTTGCGCGCGCATGCAGATTTCTATTGTTATGTCACTGATTTAAGCAAAGTTTTCTTCTGGGGTCAAGCGTGCTTTTGCTGTGCTTACTGCTTAACGGTCCCTATGAAATAGATGGAGGCTCGGTAAGCACAAAGTCAGCTGTTAAGCAGCGCTATGAAATTGAGCCCTGTATTAAAAGTTGGTAAATTATTTTGTAACAAGCTCTCAGACAGCATTGAGATTCATTGAGGCACTTTTTATTAAGAAAAAAAAAATTCCAAAATCAAATACCTTCCGACATTATTGCACAAGAGTCTACACCCCCTCTTGGACTGGGCGTGGCTTGATGACTCCTTGATGGTATCTCTGTCAGATCCACCGTGCTCGTTGGTTCTACCAACACGGGTACCAGTTGGCTGGATTCCTCCATTGACGCTTCAGTAAGTTGACGTGAGGGCTCTTTGTAGCTTGGTGTTCATGGTTTGTATGCAGTACCTGTGTAAGTTAAGTACATGAGTGACATCAATAAAACAGTCAATGTGAGTTTCTATGGAACAGAAAAAAGGCTTAAGTTAGTAATAGCAGTGGTTCATACCAGTGCGCCTACATGGGGCGACCACGAGGAGGCCTTTTTTTTGCAGTGCATGATGGGAAATGGTCAACAACTATTTATAGGCATCACTGACATCTATATATTGCCTTGATAGCACAAGGAGAAGAATCCAAGTCAATTGAAGCCATGTTGGGAAGACTAGTGCTGCAGCCAACCGCCGAACCAAACTAAAATATTCCGAATATAGCACTCCAAACCGAAACCGAACCAAACTGAATTTTTCCTGTTTCCATGTATTCTCATTTGTTAAAAAAATACCAATGAAACTTGTACTTTTATTTGGGAATCTCTGATAACTTTGTGTGTGAGATTTTTGTTTTTAAGGAGGCCTTTTTTGCAGTGCTTGAAGGGAAATGGTGAAGGCATCACTGACCTCTATATATTGACTAGATAGCACATGGAGAATGCATGAATCCAAGTCAATTGAAGCCATGTTGGGAAGACTAGCGCTGCAGCCGACAGCTGAACCAAACTAAAATACACCGAACATAGCACTCCGAACCGAAACCGAACCAAACTGAATTTTTCCTGTTTCCGTGCATTCTCATTTGTTAAAAAAACTACCAAGTGAACTTGTACTTTCATTTGGGAATCTCTGATAAACTTTGTGTGTGAGATTCACATCGATCGGCCATTTTGTAAATATGTGAGATGTCAACATTGAAATTGTGATGAAAATATGGGAGGGGGGGGGAAGAGATTGTCCATTCAACTGAATGCCTGTAACTAGCAACATTACATGTAGACATTTGAGCTTCATTTCAGAAGCTTTCACGATATTCTGATGTCTATCAGCAAATGGAAAATATAGTTTTCAGATCAACGTATTGAGAACTGTAAAGATCATTGTGTAAATCCAGTGTGAGTGAAGCAAGAACGAATCGAGCTGTGTCAGGGACGCGTGACTTCTTGCAGCGTTATATTGGTTAGCTTATGCTTGGAGAGTGTGCCACAGCTAAATAAAGATAGTAGTAAAATGACGAAATGCATTTTTGTCCATAAAAAGGCACCAGTATTGTCTTCAAACAAGTGAAATATCTCCAATTCTGGTGATTCGATTTCAAAAATGCATGACTTTTTCAAATTTCTGAAAGCCAGCCAGACACCTTGAAAGCAAACACAGGTTCAACTAGAGATCTTTGTCTGTTTGAAGCAGATTAACACTATCACAGAACTTGGTAAAAAAAAAAAGATATCATATGAGGAAAAAACAAAACAGCTTTTGACAAATAGACGTTGCTCTGCTCGGATCCAGTTTTTTTTAGAGGGGGGGCACACCATTGGAGCATTTGCTCCGAGAACTAATGCGAGTGCGAAGCGCGAAGCCTTTTACGGCATGGGGTCCTGGGCCCACTTAAGGTCCCCGGGAATTTTTGATTCTCAATGCTCTGTAGTGTAATCTGAGGTGATTCCTGGCCCCTTTCTCCCTGAAATATTTGAGCAAAAGTTTTTAAGATTATAAGGATTTTTTTTAAATACATATTTTGTATACTCTTGCTTTTACAAATTTTAAGTTAAATACATATTTTGTATACTCTTGCTTTTACAAATTTTAAGTTACTGTGTACTTCAAAGTTTGAAATTTTGTCCTATATTTTCTTGCATTTTATTTTCGAAAAGGAATTTAATTGTATTGGCTTAGTTTGTAAACTGTTGCAACGATGCGTTGGGGCATTTGCTCCGAGGACTAGTGCGATTGCGGAGTGCAAATGTCTTACGGGGGAAAATTTGGTTTTAATTTGGGCCTTTCGGCACCATGAGGGGTGTTTAAATGTTTTGTTTCAGGGTTTTACATCGTTTCTTGAGTTAAGTCTTTACAAAAATTATATGATGACGTTGAAGAACTCATTTTAAAACAAGGAAATATTTTGGACTCCGTGCAAAGTAGGCCTACAATTTGAAATGAAAAAAAAAGCGGTGGGAATGCTGGCAAATTGTTCTTAAAACAAAAATACATCCCTTGACCAATGGTACAGTCCAAAGAGCAGTGTACAACGTGTGTGTCGTGCTACACACAGCACATAAGCTACATGCTTTTCGTAGAGAATACATCGTTTGTATGAATCGCATTTAATAATGGTATATGCAGGGTTAGGTACGCAGTTTATTTTGAAGCTTCTCGAGCTTGCTGTGTCATACAGCCAGTACGCAATGTTTGCAGGCTAATGTTTAATATTGGTGCCGGAATTTTTTAAAGGTTTCCCTCCTCCTTCCCTCTTTTTCTCTCACCTCCCCCTTCCCCCCCCCCCCCCCCCCCTTTATTGTTGTGTGGACTAAATATGATGGGGGCACGTGCCCCTACGCCCCCCCCCCCCCCAGATCCGCGCCTGGGCTTTTTGGTAAAAAAAAATAATTTACAACAGCAGTTTCCACATATCAACAATATCCATAGACATTGAGGGTCTGCAGCCGACAATTTACATGTACGTATTATATACCGGTCGTTGAAGTATAGCTATTACTATTTCAGGATAGCATTATTATCTCAGGAAAGCAAGTAGGGTCCAGTTTGTTGGGGGGGGGCATCTTATCTTGTTTGGAGGGGGCCACACAATGGGTTTGGTCATAATTTTTAAACAATTACGAAATGATTTTGTTTAGCTTCTCCAATTTCTGAGCGGGGAGGGGGAACAAGCCTTGGACAAGAGTTGGAGGGATAGGGTGTCCATAACCATACCCCCTCCCCCTCTGTCTTGTTTTCACGTCACTGTGGAAGATTTCTCACAGGTTGTACAAACATAAAACTCTGAAGTTTCATTTCTACTGGCAGTTTTCAAAAGCTTTACTTTCAAGTTCAGAAGTTCAGCATTAAAAACATTATCAATACCATGTCAAACAATTTGGAATTTTCATCTTTTAATGCATCATTGAATAAAAGAGTCATAACTGCCTAACTCTAACTCTACAAAACCATGAAGTCAATTTTGAAAATTGTTGGTGGTGTAGATACTCTTAAGCCTTGGCCTTAATTAACACCTATGAGTTTCATTTAATTTCAGTCACGCATCAATACACAATTATCAATTGATCACAACAACATTTTTTGAACTATTGGTTGTCCGACAAAATATTTTGGTTGTCCCTGGACATCGGGCAGCCCTGATTTCGCGAGCCCTGCTCCTGATAATGTCTACATTCTGATTTCAATAAAGCCCCGACGTCAAGGTGTTGATACTCAGCTTAAATCCAAACCTGGTTCAAATCATGTATTACATGTATCTATGACAAAACCTAAAGAGCAAAACGTTTTTTTGTAAAAGATATTCAGAAGATCTTTTTCTCAAAATGAAGGAAATGATTGGACTTAGGTTAGCCCAGGTTGGACGAAGTCTTCATTGCATTACGACTGACGTCCAGGATGAGAATTCTCTACATAAGACCACCCAAAATTTGGACCAGATTTTTGTTACGTTTTACCTCGTTACAGATGCTTATTTCACGCCTACATTTTCTATGTGTCCTTATCTATTGATTAAGGGGTTCAGGAATTCCATATGTGATGCTGACCGACATTAATCAGGAAAATAAACTCTAAAGCAATGTTAAACTTGTACGTGTTTGTAGTCTCTTTTCATCAGTTTTATTCCCGAGTCGTACGTCATGTACGTGCGCACGAAAGCGCGCACGCACGCTAGCGCCCTCATTTGTTTAGTTTTGGTTGGAACAGCGACGTCACTCCAGCCAACCGACGTCACGAAAACGCTCAACCAATGACCAAAGCCGAAAACATGTTTCTGGTAACTGGCGCGAAAACACGCTCGGTAATTGGATTAGCGACCGCGCCTTCAACTAAGTGCGCGTGCGTATGAGGGTGGTTACTAAGCAAATCGCGCGTGTGCACTGCATATTCACGCTGCATAGTCTGGCTCCCAGACCAGACGTGATATGAGCGCCGAGAATAATTGTCAGGTCTAGGGAACCAGACTACACACTGCACGGACGTACATGTACGTCATGTACGACTAGAATAGACTCGGCGGTGAGAAACTGATGAAAAGAGTCTACAAACACGTACAAGTTTAACGTTGCTTTAGAGTTTATTTTCCTGATTAAGGTCGGTCAGCATCGCATATGGAATTCCTGAACCCAGCGGCCCAATAGATAAGGACACATAGAATACTACGACGTAAAAATTTGCTTCTCCAACAAGGTAAAAATATTGAAAATATTGGTCAAATTTTTTCGCCCAGTTTTGAGCACTTCATATCCTGGACTCCCTCCGTAACGTAGGGAGGAAAGGGAGTCCACCTGGGCTAGACTTAGGTATGATTTATATACAGTCCCGAGCAAAAATGTGTTCAATATATTCTTTTAAATTCTAAGTGGCATTATAAAAGCACAGCCTGCATCTGCAACCTGGAAAAAAGAAGTGTGAGAGGTAACTCGAAATAAATTTAACAATTTTACCGATTCTGTAAAAAAATTGTGTCTGGATTGACTATCAATTTCTACAATGGACGTTGTTAAATATGTCCTACTATTTAAAGCCAACTTAGGTTTGGCAAAGCATTGGGCTAGCGTGTCCTTTTAATAAATGAACAGGATGGTGTGCATTTGTACCAATTCATTGGAAAAGCCACAATCACTACAAATAACCGGCCTTTTTTAAATTCTCAAGTCCTGGCAATTAAGTGGGTGTGTCCATTGAGTTCCCAGTTGGCATCGCAGTTCAGTTCCGCTGGGCACATTGCACTATGGTAGTAGTAGTACATGTAGGCCTATGTACATACATTTATGTGTACAGTGGATAGGATAGCACAGATTTCGCTTCCTCAATATGCTCAAGCCCCTAAAAGTGTGTTTTACCGTATATTTGGTTAACTTGTAAATGGGCATGGTTTCCTTCTTGAAAAGGGCATAAGGCCTCGCAAACGTTGAGAGAAAAGCATAAAATTTGTGCAACTTTCCAACTTTTGTACTGCACACATGTATAAATTGTTTATCTCAATACAATACCCTTTTTTTTATAAAGCATGTAAAGTGAGTACAAATATAAATCTTCAACTACGTAACAACACGTCCACCATCACAACCGCAATAACTTCTCACAATCGATTATAATGCTAAAAGCACTTACAGTACATAAATACCTCACTTCTAAAATACAATATTTTAATTGTTATATAACTTACAAAGTTCAAACTAATTATCCAGATAAGATTTCCTCCTAGTGGCCTACTGATATTAAAAAAGCATGATTGTTACACAAAAAGAAAACGGATACGACCGGGCCTATAATCCTAATGGTTTGAACACAAAATCATATTTTATAATGCCAAAGTCTACAAAGATTTCAGGTGACCACACCGCCCCCTCCACAGCATGGCACTTCACCCGATATCAGCGTCTTCAGAAAATCTGAGAGTACTGGGATCCCCTCCCACTTGCAGCGCATGATGCAATGGAAGACAGTCTTAAAGTCCCGGTGTTTGGTGACGTAGATGAGCGGATTTACGCAACTGTTAATGACCAGGATTAGGCGTAGGGTAGGAACGGGTCACTGTTAACATACAAGAGGCAGAAGACAAATGGAGTCAAGCACAGCATGTAGGCACAGACAATGTAGAACATGTTTTTGGTGATCTTGGTCTTACAGCAAACCATCTGGGATTTGCGAAGGGTTCCTTGTCTACCAGTAGATGTGGATGTCTTGGCGTGGTTGCTATTCATGGTAGATACCAATTCTAACACCACGCTCCTGTGGGTGGTCATCAACTTGGATGAGGATTCAGTGGTAGTCACCTTCTTAGCATGATTGTGAAGATGCTTCCAGATGAGAACATAACAGATGATGATGGTTATGAGAGGGATAGGGTATAACCCCATAACTATGATGAGATCGTAGTCTTAGGAGCGGGGATGGGTGGATGGGAATCCACAGTGGTGATACTTCTTGTTGTATCCTACCGCACCCACATCTGCGAGTGGTGGGATGAGGGTGACAAGCAGAGGGATACACCAAGCCACTGCCAGCCATACGGCAATCTTCCTCGGTGTGTAGATGACTTGATGGGTAGTCATAGGCCATTTGATCAGCAGTAGGCGTTGCAGTGCGTTAGAGGCCAGGGTGTACATACTGCAACCGATAGCCGTAGCCTGTACCACAACAGTCACACTGCACGCCCACTCAGCGACTGGCAAGCCATTCGTGCTGAGCGTAGCGACGACCGTCCACGGGAGAACAAGACAAGTCTGCTATGCCTAGGTTCACCACAAAGGCGTTGGTTGCAATACGGAGTTTCTTGGACAAAATAACGGCCAGGATGACCAGAATGTTGCCCATGGTTCCAAGTAGAATCACGATCAGATACATGACGGCCACTATGACTCTCTGTGTGTAGTCATTGAATTCAAATTGCAGGCTCTCCGTCGAATTGCCGAAAGAGCTGTTTGTTAGATCACCATCCATGTTCCAAGATAATGTGAGACCCGCTAAAACAAGGATTTATCAAAATAGCCTTGTAATCTCTCACTTTCACTGGGAACGCCAAATATTAATAGCAGACTTTCACTTTTATATGTAGTTCAACATAAAATGAGGTTTGGGGAAAAATTGGGCTAGCATTTCCTTTTAAACAAATGAACAGGATGGTGTACCAATTCTCTGGATAATCAACAATCACCACAAATAACCGGCCTTCCTTGAAATTCTCAAGCGCCAGCAATTAACCTGGTTGTGTCTGTTGAGTTCCCGGTCGGCACTGCAGCTCAGTTCCGCTCGGCAAGTTGCACCATGGTAGTTCACCTACATACTGTACATGTACAGCTGATAGGTTGTCGCTCTTATTTGCATTTTTCAGTCACCAAAGAGTGTAATATTTTGGTTAACTTAAATTGACACTGTTTCCTTCGTGGAAACTGCAAAAGGCATCACAAACGTTGAAAGAAAAGCTGGAAATTTGTTCAACTTTCCAACATTCGCACTGCACACACAGTCATTTAAACATCGGCAATAAGTTCAATGTATCTGACTGTTTCCTGTTTTAGCAGCGAATTTTCTATCCGTATAAAAAAAAAAAAAAATAAATCTATAAGAGTAATTTTTTTAACACAATACAATACCCTTTTATTTTACAAAGCATGTGAGTGCAAAAATAAATCTTCAACTATAAAACATACATCCATCATCCCCACTGCAATAAGTTCTCACCTTCGATTATAACGCTAAAGCACTCGCATAAATATCTTACTTCTATAATACAATATTTTAATTGTTAAATAACTTAACAGTTAAGGTCACACCAGGCTTATTGTGGATGTTCTTTATTACATTTTTAAGTTAAAATTGATGCATGGATATGAGAGTATAAAACAGCTCAGCTGTTGTTGCAACTGTTAAAGTTTGAAATAATTATCCATAGTGCACACCGGTACCAGTGTTGTAGTACTTGTACTTGGTATCCGTACTCGAGTACTACTCGAGTACTTTTTTTGGAGTACTCGTACTCTAATGTCAAAGTACTCGTACTCAAAGTGACGGTACTCGTACTCGGGCAGCAAAGTAATCGTACTCGACATGTCGAAATTGTACGCGATCATCAAAGTACTCGTACTCGAATAGCAGTACTCGGGGGAAAAATGGTGTAGCTTGACTATATACCACGGCCTTATTTAACGATACTTTCAGTTTGGAATGGTTGATTGGGTTGTGGAGAAACCTAAGTTTCCTGATTCTGTGCACGTCCGGACAAACACATTTAACAGCCAGCCGTGAGTGGGTCTGTACAATGTACACATGTATATCAGTTTGACAGGGCCTGGGCCAATAACGCACAACGAACCATTTGCCGTATGGCCGTAATCGGAAATACAAGTATTGGATTCGTACTCGGAAGTACAATACTCATACTCGGAGACCTGTTCTTGTACTCAGAGGTATACGTACTCGTGCATACTCGTACTCAGCAACCTAAGTACTCAGCAGTACTCGGTACTCGGAAAAAGTACTCGACTACAACACTGTTACATACTACATTGTATATTTCCTCCTAGTGGCATACCGATATAAAGAAAAGCCTGATTATTACACAAAAAGAAAATGGATACGATCAGGCCTATAATCCCAATGGTTTTAACACAAAATAGTATTTTAAAATGCAAAAATCCACAAAGATTTCAGGTGACCACATCGCCCCCTCCACAGCATGGTATTTTAACCGGTATCAGCGTCTTCAGAAAATCTGAGGGTTCTGGGATGTTCTCCCACTTGCGGCGCAGGATGCAACCAAAGACAGTCTTGAAGTCATGGTGTTTGGTGGCATAAATGAGCGGATTGACACAACTGTTACAGGCCAGAATCGCAGAGGCGTAGGGAAGGAATGGGTCGCTATAGTCACAGAACAGGCAGATGACAAACGGAGTCAGGCACAGCATGAAGGCACAGATGATGTAGAACATGTTCTTGGTGATCTTGGTCTGACGGCGACTCAACTGGGATTTGCGGAGGGTTCCTTGTGTAGATGTGGATGTCTTGGCGTGGTTGCTATTCATGGTAGATACCAATTCTAACACCACGTTCCTGTGGGTGGTCATCAACTTGGATGAGGATTCAGTGGCAGTCACCATCTTAGCATGAAAGCGAAGATGCTTCCAGATGAGAACATAACAGATGATGATGGTTATGAGAGGGATAGGGTATAACCCCATAACTATGATGAGATCATAGTCTTTGGAGCGGGGATGGGTGGATGGGAATCCACAGTGATGATACTTCTTGTTGTATCCTACCGCACCCACGTCTGCGAGTGGTGGGATGAGGGTGACAAGCAGAGGGATACACCAAGCCACTGCCAGCCATACGACAATCTTCCTCGGTGTGTAGATGACTTGATGGGTAGTCATAGGCCATTTGATCAGCAGTAGGCGTTGCAGTGCGATGGAGGCCAGGGTGTACAGACTGCAACCGATAGCTGTAGCCTGTACTACGGCAGCCATGCTGCACACCCACTCACCGATCGGCAAGCCGTTCATGCTGAACGTCGTGATGACCGTCCACGGGAGAACAAGACAAAGTGACAAGTCCGCTACGCCTAGGTTCACAATGAAGGCGTTGGTGGTGGTACGGAGTTTCTTGGACAAAATCACGGCCAGGATGACCAGAATGTTGCCCACGGTTCCAAGCAGAATCACGATCAGATACATGACGGCCACTATGACTCTCTGTGTGTAGTCATTGAATTCGTATGGGGGGCTCTCCGTCGAGTTGTCAAAAGACCCGTTTGTCAGATCACCATCCATAGTCCGAAATGTGCAGTCATCGAATTCGTATGGGGGGCTCTCCGTCGATTTGTCAAAAGAGCCGTTTGTCAGATCACCATCCATAGTCCGAAAAATGTGCAACCCGCTTAAACAAGGATTTCTCAAAATACTTTTGTAACCTGTCACTGGCAACCTCCAATATTAATAGCAGACTTTTACTTTTATTTTTCGTTCAACATAAAGCCTACTGAGGTTTGGGGAAAGCATTGGGCTAGCATGTCCTTTTTAAACAAATGAACAGAATGGTGTACTAATTCACGGATAATCGGCAATCACCACGAGTAACCGGCCTTCCTTGAAATTCAAGCCCCTCCAATTAACCTGGTTGTGTCCATTGAGTTTCCGGTCGGCATCGAGGTTCAGTGTCCCTCGGCAAGTTGCACTATGGTACAATGTAGTACATGTACAATCGATAGTTTATCACTCTTATGTATTTGCTTGTTTCGGTCCCAAAAAAAGTGTAATATTTTGGTTAACTTGTAAATCGACACTGTTTCCTTCGTGGAAACCATTAACGTTTCGCAAACATTGAGGGAAAAGCAGAAAAATTGTGCAACTTCCAACATTCAGGCTGCACACGCAGTCACGTAAACATCGTCAATAAGTATACAACTGTTTACTGTTTAGCAGTGAAATTTTTATCTGTATAAAAAAATATGTATATATCTGCCACATTAATTTTTGGCCGTCTCATGTCTGGAAAAAGTAAGAGGCCGAGAAGTTTCAATTTTATATTCAAAGTTGGTGAGAAAAGCCCTTAATCTACTGATTTAGAATGTCTATCAGATGTTTCCACAGTTTTCAGAAAATTCCAAAGAGAATTAGTTGGTCAAGTAGCTCATGCACTATTGAAAGTCACGTGAAGAACATGTCATCCTTTCCTGTGCCAAGCACTGAAACTTTCATTTCAGTAGTCATCGCATCTCATAAATTGGTCATCCATTTCCATCCATTTCCCCAGACAATAAACTCCCGTCATATGTGCTCTCTCCAGAAAGCATGCTGAGGAGATGCTTGCCATCCTTGGTGATATCTCAGAGGAGTATGGCCTCGTAATACATCCGGGTAAGACGGAGTACCTGGTTATCCAGAAAACGATGACAGACGAGACAATCACTTTCCGTGGAGCCATGATACCGCGCGTCTGCAAGTTTCGCTACCATGGCACATCAATAACTCACAATCTCAGTGACAGGGAAGAGGTCCAGGTACGGATAGGGATAGGAAAGGCTGCACTATGCAAGTGCAAGTACTTGGCATCTTCGCGTGTCTCCCTTGATACAAAGTTACAAGTTATACAATCATTAGTGATTGCCAAAGTATTGTATAACTCCACTACGCTGACCTTCAAGGCAGCTGACCTGAAGCGCTACGATGCTTTTGGCAGGACGATATGGCGAATCCTGCTGGGCATAAAGTGGTCAGACTTTATCTCAAACGAATGACTGGCGGAGATGATTGGCAGACGCTGGTGTCTTACAGGTGATGAGATGTTAGAGCGGAAGGCTATGTGGTGCGCTCATGTGATGAGACAAGGAGGTCTGCCCTGCGCAGTTATAGATGGTTTGCCTACGGGTACGAGGCGTGGCGTGGTAGACAATGTGACGAAGTGGAGTGGCAGAAGTGTGGAAGAGCTGAGAACAGCGGTGACTGAAAGAGAACAGGTGATGGCGGCGACCCAAGGGATACACCCCCATTACAATCTGAAGACGAGGCGGCTACGGACGCAAGTCTATGCCGAATGATGATGATGATGATGATATGTGCTTACGTTTGGGAATAAATGTGCTTAGGAGGTGTAGCCGAGCCAAAGGCGAGGGTAATTATCAGCATCCAGACTCCAACCAGTCTCAAATATAGTGTTTAATATCAACCAAGCACATATTTATTCCCATTTAAAAATACCATTTCGATCAAAAAATCAAAACTTTTTGGTCCAAAAGTCAAAACAAGTCAAAACTTAAACATTTCCAACAATTTTCTTTTATGGAGATTGGCGCCATGTCGGGCAGATGCAGCTGTACGAGTGCATTGTCAATTTAGGACTATGAAATACTGACCCACTGGTATTGCACATGCCTACGTGAAGATTGTGAAGTGTGAACGTTCAACCAAAAACGGTAAAAGGCACTGGATTTAATAGGAGTCCAAACTGCATGTGACACTGGAAAAGTGTTTAAGACCAGTCTTTTTCATCTGTTTAAGACCGCGGCCACGTGACAGGCTCTCGACCAATGGGAATGGGATAGGCCTAATTATCGCAGTCCATTTTGCTGTGCATATTTTCCTGATTACTTTGACTTGTGTCTGAATTTAAAGTTCTTTGAAATTGCTACTTTGGCCAACAAAAAATGTTTTTGCCAGCAAAAAAGAAACACATAATCACTTGAGCTTTTGGTTTTGATGACCTATAAAAAGAAGTTAATTTCATTCAATTACACCGTAACAAACTAAGAGTAACGGTAAGGAAGGTAAAGTTGGGGGAAACCACTTGGAGAGACATTCGAACAAATTGCTGACAGCGCCTGACGCTTACGCGATTCATGCTACAATGCATGGCTTTGTGCACATTCTGAATAAAAAAGGTACTGTGTACTTCACGCCATACGATGCGAACCAGTATGCACACGTGACATGTCCCGTCCGCTGGGATCCTGAAAGTGGTAAAAAAGCACCCTCTCTTATTCGCTACGATGCCCATAGGCTCATGTGTAGCCATGTAAATGCAATTCAGATGTGGCCATATGGAAACAAGTTGTTCCCTAAGGGGAGGAAGAATCAAATGACTTTTCAAACAAGCAATCGAATTTCATGAAAGAAGTTCATCAGGCTGGTGAAATTTCCAACTTTGTAAATGAATTCTCTACTAACACAGCCAATTACTTACGTAGTTTCGTTTACGTTTGGACTAGTTTCACTAGTCATCCTCAGAACGAAGCACCACCAGTCGGTTGGTGGCGCTGTTTCCTGCTGCGGCCACTAGATGGTGGTCTGGCCGCTTGTAAGCAATGTGGTGCTACCATATGTAAAGGGTGCTACCATATGTAAAGGGTGTGTCAGAGAGGATAAGGGTGTGTCAGAGAGTGTGTCAAAGGTCTATGAAGAAACATGGAGTGGAATGTCCTGTCAAGCCACATCGCACGCTCAGGCAACTTCTAGTACATATCCAAAAGACAAGATTGAAAAAGAACAAAAATGTGGCGTGGTATACAAAATCCCATGCCAGTCATGCCAACTATCCTACATCAGGGAAACGGGAAGAAAATTTGGCACGTGGTTCGAAGAACATAAGACCGAAGTAAAAAAACTAACATCCAGAACCATGACGAGGGCGAGAAAAACATCAACAGTAGGCAAAGAGACAAAATCGGCCATAACAGAACATGCTAGAGACAAAAATCATGTGATGAATTGGGCAGATAGTGAAATCTTGCACAGGGAGGGCGACAAATACAGATGTTGGATACGGGAAAGTCTATGGATAAGGAGATGACGATCAACTCTTAACAGAGATAAGGGAGGGTATGAACTGTCACACATATGGCACCCCCCTCATACCCCTCGTACCAACCCGGGGGAGGACACAAGCGGCCAGACCACCATCTAGTGGCCGCAGCAGGAAACAGCGCCACCAACCGACTGGTGGTGCTTCGTTCTGAGGATGACTAGTGAAACTAGTCCAAACGTAAACTAAACTACGTAAGTAATTGGCTGTGTTAGTAGAGAATTCATTTACAAAGTAAGCAATCGAATTGTTGATGTTGAGAGGCTATTGCCTGTTCTCGCTTCCATGACGTCCGATGTCAACAAAACTTGTGCTGCATGTACATGTACGTTGATCTTCAAGCAAACTTGTATTCTCGATCCTGATTGGTCGATCCATGGCAACAACAGTGTGATTTGAGGCTGTATTGCATGGTCCATATCGCACCCTGCGTATTGCGCAATTCCAAGATGCGAGTGACATTCCAGCTGCATGCACTAAACTGCTGAAATGTTCGTGTAAAACGTGCTCGTTCCAACTGTACTGCGCGTCAAGTTTGCTTGAAGATAAATTAGTTATCATGCTCGCGCTCATGGAACACGGAAAATGTAGTGCGTTTGGTCCCACATACCACTCGGCCTGTGGCCTCGTGGTATGTGGGACACAGACGCACTACATTATTCCGTGTTCCACTCGCGCTCGCGGGATAACGTAAAGTATACCTTACCTAAGTAAGATTTGAGGCTTTGCATGGTGAAGATACTAAATAATGAAAGGTTTGCGGAAACACCATGTGCGAATAATTTCTCAACTAAGAGAATGGTTCTGAAAAGAACCAGAGGTATAAACTCGACGTTCCGGTCAGTATGCTCTGACCGTCTTCAGGAGAGTGCCTAAACTCTAAGAAAGTGAATACTTAAGTAGCAAAAGGTGAAATCAATGGAGTGTGAAGTTGCATCCTGTGAGGATGCCAAGTAGACAGGATCCCTGAGCAAGCTTAGTGCCCACTGAAGTGGAACAGTAGGGTTGCAGTGTCAGTGGAGGGAGGACCTAGGGTATAGGAGACCCATCAGTCTAAGGTAGTAGCTGAGGACCTAGGGTATAGGAGACCCATCAGTCTGGAGAAGTGGGAGCCAGATGTCGTTGAGATGAAACCCGATGTCTTGCGGAACTGTGTTGTGCTTGCGGATCTCGATGGCTTCCCGTATGCGTCTTGGATGCCAGAACTGGATCGGTGCGATGAGTTCGGCCGCATCCCAATCAACTTTGTGGTCGTTGATGTGGGAATGTTTGACAATGGCCGATTTGTCAAAATCCCCTCGCCGTCCATGTGCTCTGTGTTCCTTGAGCCTAGTGGGAAGGTTCCGACCGGTTTCGCCGATGTAGACTTTGCCGCATTCGCATGGAATGCGGTAGACTCCCGGCTTGGAAGAGGAGTCCTGCTTGTCCTTGTGAGTATGGAGGCTGCCTTGGAGCTTGTTGCCAGATGAGTGGTACACCTTGACGCCGGCTTGTCGGAGGATGCGTTGCAGATGATGAGAAGCTGGACCTATGTAAGGAAGAGTGACTGAGGGAGATACAGTGGGAGGACCTTGGGTATAGGGGACCCGTTGGTCAGGTTTGCTGATCTTGATGCGGTTGGGTTTGTAGCCGTTCCGTTGTAGTGACGTCTGGATGTGCTGGAGTTCACGCTTGAGGTTGTCTTGGTCGCAGACCTCGAAGGCTCTCTGTACTAGGGTGCGGTTGACCGATGACTTGATGCTGGGGTGATGGAACGACCGCTGGTGGAGATAGCGGTCGGTGTGGGTGGGTTTCCTGTAGACGCTGTGTCCCAGGGTGCCATCCGGATTCCTGGAGATCTTGACGTCCAGGAAAGGAATGGTGCCATGCTGTTCTTGTTCCATGGTGAAGCTGATGCTGGTGTGTTGCTTGTTGAGGTACTGGAGGAAGTCTTGGAGTGTGTCCGGGCCATGGGGCCACACTACGAAGGTGTCATCAACGTAGCGTAGCCACAGGCTCGGCCGAAGATCCGCTGTGAGTAGGGAGGAAGACTCGAACTCCTCCATGAAGATGTCGGCTAGGACCGGGGATAAAGGAGATCCCATGGAGGTCCCAGCCGTTTGCTCGTAGAACTTGCCTTGCCACTGAAAACAACTGGAAGAAATACATGTTAGTAACAGATCATGAATTTGGTCGGGGGACAGGTCTGTGCGTTCAGCGAGAGTGGTATCATGTTCAAGTCTTTCCTTAGCTAGTTTGCAGGCCTCGCCTGTGGGAACATTGGTGAAGAGTGAGACGACGTCAAAACTGACAAGCAAGTCAGTGGGTTGGACAGTGAGGTTTCTGGTGATGCTGACAAACTGGGAAGAGTTGGACACATGGTGTGGTGTCTGACCCACCAAGGGTCTGAGGATTTTGGCTAAGTGTTGGGCTGTGTGGTAAGTGGGGGAACCTCGAGAGGCAACTATGGGGCGCAGAGGGATCTCAGGTTTGTGAATCTTTGGTTGACCAAAGAACCTGGGACAGATCGAACTGGAGGGTCTGAGTCGTCTGTAGAGGGGGGTGGATAATGCATCTGCTCGATGCAAGAGGAGAAGTTGGCTGGCAACTCGCTTCTCGATGGCGGGGATGGGGTTCTTGGGGAGTGGGCGGTATGAACCAGAAGAAAGTATGTCTTTTACCTTGTTGCTGTAGTCCTCCCTGTCCATGACGACGGTGGCGTTGCCCTTGTCCGCTGTGAGGATGTGGATGGAGTTGTCTCGGCGAAGGTCACTGACAGCGAACCGCTCTGGTTTGGTCAGATTAGGTTTAGCTGGGCGAGCCTTGCGGAGGACTTCATTCATCTTGATGCGGACGTCGTTGGCTGCTGTCTTGGTGAGGTGTCTGAGGGCTGGCTCCGTCGACTGGATGATGCTCTCGATGGGTACGGACTTTGGAGGAACAGCAAAGTTCATGCCAAGGGACAGAACTTTCGTTTCGGTACTGTTCAGCTGTCGGCTGCTGAGGTTGACTACCGTATGCTTGGTGAAGGTGTCTTGACTACGGAGATGAGGTGGATGGCGCCAGGATATAGGGGATCCAGATGGCAGGTTACGCGGGCGAGAAGACTGACGCCAGGATATAGGAGATCCAGTTGGCGGGCTATGTAGGCGAGATGGATGACGCCAGGATATAGGAGATCCAGTTGGCGGGCTACGGTTACGGTGGAAAGGAGTCGGAGTATTACGTTCCTTGCGTTCCAGGCGGTAGAATTTCCTAAGTTGTTTCTGACGAGTGGTGGAGAACACAAACTGGCTGGAAGAAGTAGTGAGAGAACAAATCCTGTCGAAGTGGACTGGTTCCAAGGTGGAGCGGAGATCCTCTTCCGTGTCGGTGATCTTCACCATGCAAAGCCTCAAATCTTACTTATCTTCGCTCTACGGGGAGCTGGTAACCAACCAGGTTAGGTTGTATGAACGGACGTCAATTCGGCGTTCTAAACTCATCAACAACTTAACCTTCCTCAAGCGATGCCGCGACTCTAAGATAACTCCTGCCGGTCTGCGTATCCGCGATCCCATACGCAATAACCGATCGGATGACATCCTCCGGAGAGCCAGCTCCGCACTCATCCGAGAACGCATCTCCTTCACCAGACTACAACTCGCCATCCTCGACCAGCAGATCACCGACACGGAAGAGGATCTCCGCTCCACCTTGGAACCAGTCCACTTCGACAGGATTTGTTCTCTCACTACTTCTTCCAGCCAGTTTGTGTTCTCCACCACTCGTCAGAAACAACTTAGGAAATTCTACCGCCTGCAACGCAAGGAACGTAATACTCCGACTCCTTTCCACCGTAACCGTAGCCCGCCAACTGGATCTCCTATATCCTGGCGTCATCCATCTCGCCTACATAGCCCGCCAACTGGATCTCCTATATCCTGGCGTCAGTCTTCTCGCCCGCGTAACCTGCCATCTGGATCCCCTATATCCTGGCGCCATCCACCTCATCTCCGTAGTCAAGACACCTTCACCAAGCATACGGTAGTCAACCTCAGCAGCCGACAGCTGAACAGTACCGAAACGAAAGTTCTGTCCCTTGGCATGAACTTTGCTGTTCCTCCAAAGTCCGTACCCATCGAGAGCATCATCCAGTCGACGGAGCCAGCCCTCAGACACCTCACCAAGACAGCAGCCAACGACGTCCGCATCAAGATGAATGAAGTCCTCCGCAAGGCTCGCCCAGCTAAACCTAATCTGACCAAACCAGAGCGGTTCGCTGTCAGTGACCTTCGCCGAGACAACTCCATCCACATCCTCACAGCGGACAAGGGCAACGCCACCGTCGTCATGGACAGGGAGGACTACAGCAACAAGGTAAAAGACATACTTTCTTCTGGTTCATACCGCCCACTCCCCAAGAACCCCATCCCCGCCATCGAGAAGCGAGTTGCCAGCCAACTTCTCCTCTTGCATCGAGCAGATGCATTATCCACCCCCCTCTACAGACGACTCAGACCCTCCAGTTCGATCTGTCCCAGGTTCTTTGGTCAACCAAAGATTCACAAACCTGAGATCCCTCTGCGCCCCATAGTTGCCTCTCGAGGTTCCCCCACTTACCACACAGCCCAACACTTAGCCAAAATCCTCAGACCCTTGGTGGGTCAGACACCACACCATGTGTCCAACTCTTCCCAGTTTGTCAGCATCACCAGAAACCTCACTGTCCAACCCACTGACTTGCTTGTCAGTTTTGACGTCGTCTCACTCTTCACCAATGTTCCCACAGGCGAGGCCTGCAAACTAGCTAAGGAAAGACTTGAACATGATACCACTCTCGCTGAACGCACAGACCTGTCCCCCGACCAAATTCATGATCTGTTACTAACATGTATTTCTTCCAGTTGTTTTCAGTGGCAAGGCAAGTTCTACGAGCAAACGGCTGGGACCTCCATGGGATCTCCTTTATCCCCGGTCCTAGCCGACATCTTCATGGAGGAGTTCGAGTCTTCCTCCCTACTCACAGCGGATCTTCGGCCGAGCCTGTGGCTACGCTACGTTGATGACACCTTCGTAGTGTGGCCCCATGGCCCGGACACACTCCAAGACTTCCTCCAGTACCTCAACAAGCAACACACCAGCATCAGCTTCACCATGGAACAAGAACAGCATGGCACCATTCCTTTCCTGGACGTCAAGATCTCCAGGAATCCGGATGGCACCCTGGGACACAGCGTCTACAGGAAACCCACCCACACCGACCGCTATCTCCACCAGCGGTCGTTCCATCACCCCAGCATCAAGTCATCGGTCAACCGCACCCTAGTACAGAGAGCCTTCGAGGTCTGCGACCAAGACAACCTCAAGCGTGAACTCCAGCACATCCAGACGTCACTACAACGGAACGGCTACAAACCCAACCGCATCAAGATCAGCAAACCTGACCAACGGGTCCCCTATACCCAAGGTCCTCCCACTGTATCTCCCTCAGTCACTCTTCCTTACATAGGTCCAGCTTCTCATCATCTGCAACGCATCCTCCGACAAGCCGGCGTCAAGGTGTACCACTCATCTGGCAACAAGCTCCAAGGCAGCCTCCATACTCACAAGGACAAGCAGGACTCCTCTTCCAAGCCGGGAGTCTACCGCATTCCATGCGAATGCGGCAAAGTCTACATCGGCGAAACCGGTCGGAACCTTCCCACTAGGCTCAAGGAACACAGAGCACATGGACGGCGAGGGGATTTTGACAAATCGGCCATTGTCAAACATTCCCACATCAACGACCACAAAGTTGATTGGGATGCGGCCGAACTCATCGCACCGATCCAGTTCTGGCATCCAAGACGCATACGGGAAGCCATCGAGATCCGCAAGCACAACACAGTTCCGCAAGACATCGGGTTTCATCTCAACGACATCTGGCTCCCACTTCTCCAGACTGATGGGTCTCCTATACCCTAGGTCCTCAGCTACTACCTTAGACTGATGGGTCTCCTATACCCTAGGTCCTCCCTCCACTGACACTGCAACCCTACTGTTCCACTTCAGTGGGCACTAAGCTTGCTCAGGGATCCTGTCTACTTGGCATCCTCACAGGATGCAACTTCACACTCCATTGATTTCACCTTTTGCTACTTAAGTATTCACTTTCTTAGAGTTTAGGCACTCTCCTGAAGACGGTCAGAGCATACTGACCGGAACGTCGAGTTTATACCTCTGGTTCTTTTCAGAACCATTCTCTTAGTTGAGAAATTATTCGCACATGGTGTTTCCGCAAACCTTTCATTATTTATACCTTACCTGTGACTGATTACCAAAGTTGTCCAACAATATCTGGTTTTCCGGTTCATTTTCTCTTTCCAGTTGTAACCTTGTCGTTTTCATTTGGTCCAATCTACAGAAAAATTAGAACCCAAATATTGTGAAAGGTTTGTTCACAATAAATTCCACAACCATATCAACAATGTTGTCTGTTTCCCCTGCCCATTCAAACGTGAGGTGGCCCACCTCGCTACTTTCAGTGACCACCTCGCTCAATTTTTGCCAATATCACCACCTCACTGTGAAGATTGGCAAAAAAGGAAATATCAATTGAAAAATTTTCATTTAGTGTAATATATGAGCATTTTCCTTTACCTCCATGCATCAAGAACTCACAATTTCGATGTGTTTTTGGAATCATCGCGCATTTTTGTGAGCGCTGCATTCTTTTCAGTTTGCAGACTGTTCGTCTCAATCATCAACTTGAATTGTTACCACCTCGCTCAGTTCATTAGCCAGGGGAAGACTCCAAATTGCCCAACTCTGTACTCGTACTGGTACTGGTACTCATGCAAATGAGTGCAACGCGGCTGTTGCCTGTCATTAAACAATCTTTGGAGCTCTCTGCAGTGAGGCTCTCTTTGGAGCTCTCTTGTGTGCGCTCTTCACCCGCGGTCGCGTAGTGCATTCGGGTACTTCAGAGAGCTGCAACGATTTTTGAATGGCAGGCAACAGCCGCACCGTGCACGTTACCAAAGTTGACGAACACTCAGTAGATGATAAAATCTCTAGTTAGATTCCCTGACCTCATTGGCCTTGTAACTATTTTAGGGGGGGCCGGGAAGCAGTCTGTTAATATCAGAGACAACATGCTTTTTGAAAACCGACAAAATGTGTCGCCAAATTACCATGATTACAGGATAAGTAGGTGCTGAATTCAACGTTTTTTTGCTATATTTTATTAGTCATACTTTACAGGGGTGATTTCCAAGTGACAAAATAATTTCGATCTGAAATTGATTTTCAGCCCCCTAGCTACGGGACCCTACATACACACAGCATATGGGCAGTTTGTGGCTGTTAATACGGAGGTAGTCCAGTATTAATACAGCCACATTTATGGGGCTATACTCAGATTAGCCCCATACATGTGGCCAATTTACTGGACTACTTCTGTAAATAAAGGCCACACTTGGAACATGTACCCGAACATGTAGAACTTTGTCAAATGTGGATTTTCACATTTAGACTTTATTAATAGTAGTTTATTTACGTTTTAGAAGCATATACACTCACCCTCTTTATAGAAATTATTTCCCCCTTTTTCAGGCATCTACTTTTCTAAGTTTTCATGTAATTTCATGTTGAAATGTAGATACACAAACGTGTGCAAACGCACCTGGAAATTACATGAAATATAGATATCTGAAAAAGGGGGACACATTTTCTATCGCTGTAATTGAAGAGGGTGAGTGTACTTTTAAAGCGTAAATAAACTACAAAAAAAGTCTAATGAGAAAATAAAAACTTGGTAATCCTTATCTTTAGGAGACCTCTATTTTTTACGAGTTCTGTTCAAAACTTACCTTTGCAGATGACTGTCTAGTACCAAAGTGTTTTTTGCAGGCTAAAGCAGTCTTTTTTCTTCAGATAAATTCATATTAGTTGTAATTTTGGAAGCACTCTCAAAGAAATGTGACTTTCCTACCCTGTTTTGCAGTTTGCAGTCTTGGTTTTTGAGTCAGTTTTCTGTTCGTCATCGTCGTGTTTTTCCCCTTACTTTCCCTCATAAATCAAAGCCCTGCCAGCCTCTTTCCACAAAATTAAACCTGCTGATATTCAACGTGTCATACTGTTCAGATATATGACAAGAAATATCAGAATGTCACTTTTGAGTTATATTTAGTCAGCTCTTTTGGTGAGTCTTATAACCTTACATGTATATGAACGGCATGAACGGGGTCCTAAAACTTTAATAGTAAGGATTACCAAAAATTTGAACAAAGTTCTACATGTTCGGGTACATGTTCCAAGTGTGGCCTTTATTTACAGAGGTAGTCCAGTAAATTTGCCACATTTATGGGGCTATACTCAGACTAGATACTTCAAAATATAGTCCGTCATTTTAATTTGTACATTTTGTTCGTTTGAAGCAACAAACGTGCTCAAAATCTAAAGAAGGGTGCTGAACAACTAACCAGATGAAGTTTCAGCTCAGCTTTAGCTGTATATTTCGAGAAAAACAGCATTCTAGGGTCTCGATTTCGAATCAAAAGTTGCTGAATCATGTTTTGAATTGGGCCTGAATTCGGCAATCGTGTAGTGTAGGCCCCCTGTTTTGTTTTGATCAAATTAGAGTAAAAAATGCGCGGTTTGTGCCTTGCGATTCAGCGCGCCGTGCGTGCTCACTGTACATCGCGCGGTGATTGCCATCTTTATTTTCGGGTCGTGTGTTGTCGCCACGCTGTCATCGTCATTTTACCCCCAAATTTCCCTCAAAAAATCAAAACCCTGCCCTCTATCTATGACATGCCTGTTTATTGAAAATGTCGCCAACTAGTTTGGTCAGTCTAATCATTTTAAAGTGGATTTTGTTCCCTTATAGGAACCGGGCCCTACACTACACGATCGCCCTGAATTCAGTGTCCAAGACTCGTTCTCACTGAGCCGATTGCATGCTACGCGATGACGTGCACTGATCCGACAAATTATAGCAACCTCGCCCGCGTGTATGTGTGCATTGTGTCAACGCTTGCATGTGCTTCTTACGCATGTTAAGACCGTTGGAAAGGCCTTCTTTCGTTGATTTCTTGAGAATGACAGCTTGCCAGAAAGAATAATTTCACAGGGAGTTTAGTTCCCTTACTATCTTTCAACCAAGCACGTTTTTCAACAATAATCACGTCAGATAATATCAGTTGGATTGCTGCAAATGATGGACTGTAGCTTTAAATTTGGCAGTGGATATTTAACCGGAGACGGCAAACCTTTAGTAAATGTTAGCTTGCCGGATGTGCACTGAACTGTTTTTTTTAATACATTTTTCGCTGACAAATTTTAGTCTGGCTCCATGCCAACATTATCGTTGTAACTTTGTATTCACAAGATGGGAATCAGACCATTTTACAATTTCGGACTTTATTTCCCTTTAAAAAAAAAATCCTCCAGAGCCACAAATCTGAAAAAGAAAATGTAGTACTCTGCAATAAAATGTTTGAGACATGTTAAAAATGATAAAATAAGAATATTCTTATTTTTTTGGGATGGGGAAAAAAAACTTAAAAATTTCGCCAGCGGGGATCGAACCCGGAACCAGGAGGTCCGTTGCTTATCCACTAGGCCACAGGTGCTGCACAACCGTTGGCGGTAATTTAATATATCTTATAATTCAGCCCTATCTTAGAGAGTAGGCCTACAGCGCCCTCAGTTGAAAGGGATTGAAGAGCAGCCTTTTGATTCCAGAAGTAGCAAGGACGGTAGACCCACTAAGTAACTGGGGCACTAGAACTCCTTTTTTTTACATTTGGGATGTGGTCTGTCGTACAAGCTTGAAGTTGTATGACAGACCACATCCCAAATCTTAAAAAAGGAGTTGCCCCAGTAGTACAGCTGTAGTAGTAGTACTGTCGAGCGCAATCTGAGTCCCACGCGCAAGTTTAAACCTGTGCGCGCAAGTTTAAACCTGCGTGCGCAAGTTTAAACCTGCGCGTGCAGGAATTTACTTGCTTCAAATTGCGCGTGCAGGAATTTACTTGCTTCAAATTGCGCGCGCAAGTTTAAACTTAGACGGCACCCCTCCCCGACGGTTTAGCACCCCGGTTGGTAAGGAGGCTTCATCAAAATGATAAATACTTTTTACATTATGAAAATATCATTTCGTAAACCAATTTTATCCAAGTTTGAATTTTGGTATGATTCTGCATGAAATTTAACTTTTTTCCTGATATCTCATCAAAAAAGGGCATATTTCTAAAAGTGCTTTTTTACGGAATTTTAACATCTGAAAAGTAGTGAACAATGGTGTAATCTTCATTGTTTTCTATGTGGGAACCGAGCTAATATTTTTTTGTTTTTCGTGAATTTGTATTTTGTATTTTTAAAAGGAAATGTTGAAAAAAAATCATATTAATCAACATTACATACAAAAACAATGGGATAGTGAAACCATGGAACTAAGATCCCCAAACGCCCCCCCCCCCCCCACTCAAATACTCAGGAGAGTGCAAGATACTTAATTAAGTTAAACCCTAGTCCATAATTAAACTCCCTCAGTCATGGAAAGTTCGTGGTGGAAAAACAAACAAATGCCATGCAAACTAGATAACAACGCCGTCACAATTTGTAAGCCCGCGATTGCCATTTGCTAACATTGTACGTACACTTTACCTTCCGCACGCAAGTTTAAACTTGCGCAAGGGTCTTACATTGCGATCACCTTTGCGCAAGTTGTAACGTGCGCGCGCAAATTAAAATGGCGCAGTGTAGTTTGCGTGCTTCGAGAGTCACTCGCGCAAGTTTAAACTTGCGCGCGTAGGTTTAAACTTGCGCGTGGGACTCAGATTGCGCTCGACAGTACTACGAGTTGACTCGGGTACGAGTTGACTCGGGTACGACTTAACCTGGGTACGACTTGACTCGGGTACGACTTGAATTGGGTGCAAATTTTGGGGTACGAGTTGACTCGGGTACGAGTTGACCCATTTTCGTGGGGCTACCGTGTTTTATCCCATTCCCATATCGTATGGTGATCAGCATATTAAATCAATTATTATTCATTCTTCCTATATTAATTCATGTATACAGACTTCATATAGATATTGGAGAATTCAAGCTTACCCGATAAAATACAAAAAGCCGTCATTTTGACGTGAAAACTGAGGACAATCTCATCACAAAATTACGGCAACAGCCACGAGCGCTAGCGCTTTTTGCGAAATTTGGACATATGGTGTCACGTGACAAATGTTGATCAGGTGGTACAAGCGTCAAGTCACGTGGACACACTGAAAATTGTTGTCCTCTCAATATTTAAAGACAAACTAAATTGTACAGGTTATTTTGACAAAATAAAAATAGGATTTGACTTTTTTTTCAATGATATGAAAAATAAATATCAGTAGTTTTAGATTTCCAAGCTTATAGCGCCGCAAGAACGGTATGAATATTTATAAGGAGACTCGCTATTCATTATTCATATCATAGGCCTATCTTTAAATTCGCGCCAACATTTTAATGCACGAACAACCCGCGAGACCGCACGTAATCATGGGCGTCGCGAGGGGGGGGGGGGCAAGGGGGGCAATTGCCCCCCCCCCCCCTGGAAAAGCAACCCAAAAAAAAAAAAAAAGGAAGAAAAAAAAGAAAAGAAAAAAAAGACAAAGAGGCGCGAAGACAAAGTGGTGTAAATTTAATGAGTTGGGGGGGGGGGGGCAAAATGTCCCTGCCCCCCTCTAAAACTGATAAATCGAGAATGTGTTGAGAAATACAAGCATTTTTTGGCATTTTTTGCCCCCCTCTAGAAAAAATCCTGGCGACGCCCATGCACGTAATACCTTAATCATTATCTAGTAATACACGTACTAAAGAAACGCCCACATAAAAAAAAACACTGAGACGTAGGAATAGTTTTGCTTCGTCTGTTTTATTTCTGATAGTGATAAAAAAAAGTCACAATACTAACATATTATCTTCCGTATAAAATATGGGGGGGGGGGCGGGGAGGAGGCATAGATAGAGTGAGTACAATGTTGGCGCGCTGCGCATCATGAGTGATATGTCGTCCGTCGAGATATTTTGTCTTCATCGTGAGAGAGAGAGAAGAATGCGAATGCTTAATGCGCCTATCAATTGTTCCCCCCCCCCCCGGGCTGCTCCACCCAAGACGTGGGGATTGTCACTTTTCAAGTGACAAAATCCCCACCCCTCGGGCAAAATTTAAGTGACAATCCCCGACCATGCCCCGACATACATACGTGGGGCGCACTAGTGATTGCCTTTCCAAGTAGTATATGCCATGTTATCAATGTAACTTATTTGAGTGACCAAAATCCCCACCCTGGGGCATGAAAAACGTGACCAAATCCCGACATCGGACCTGGGGCAGCGCGGGGGGGAGGGTTGAAACATTTGATAGGCGCATAACACTCAGAAACAGGTTGAATATGCCGCCTACTACTTTTCGCAAAGTTTTTTAAAAGTCAAATCTGTACAGTCGACTCTCGTTATAACAAGGTCGGCGATGGGACTAGCCAAATTACCTCTTTATAACAGGAATGTTGTTATAATTTATAAAAGGACAGCCAAACAAAGAAACACAAAGAGAACCTGAGATTTGGGACTTCAGAATTTGCTCTTTATAAGCAGAACCTCTTATAAAAGTGTTCTTTATAATGAGAGTCGACTGTAGTTTGGTTTGGTACAGGTCTTTAAGGAGCAGTGGTTGTTGCCTCGATGATGTAGTCACACGTGTGTGCATTATGTGCCAGCCAAATGCGATTGTTGATGATGTCATCATCGAGGTCCGGCTTCTCACTCAAAATACGTCCAAGGTAGCAACATTTGGAAACTTGCTCCACCGGGTCTCCGTGAATAGTGATCTGGGCGAGGAAGTTGTGCATGCAAGAAACTTGGCCTAATAGTCGATGTGGACGTCGTCACATGGTCTTCAAACATCCCCAGCTATAAAATCTCAGTTCACGTTCACAATATTCAACAAAGTCAGTTTGAAGGCCGTCTTTCAAAAAAAAGTAGTTTTATAATATTGTTTGCCTACAGTAACCAGGGTTGTTAATAAAGATCTGAAATCGGTCATTCTCCAAATCGCTCTGAACACGCCGGCGTTTCATTTTCGCTAGCGCTACCATGCAGATAAATGAAAAAGAAACCCCTAAAATTGTAGGATGCGGATGGCATTAAACTAAAAGTGGAATAGAAAGGTAACTGTTTGAGATCGCCCTCTAAAGGCAATGTCTTGTGTAAACGAATCTGAATGCAAAAATGAAACGTGTGTTCGGCGACTCTCAAATTCAGTCGAAAAAGGAATGACCGATTTTCAAAAGTGAACTTGAACATGGCCGGGAAAACCTATATTTTTGCAAGGGCATTTTACATGAAACACTTTTCTATTTTGTGGGAAAAAAAGTTTCTTTCGAAAAAGGGCGCCCTAAACAAACAGTGGTGCCTGCATGACGGGGTCGCTAGTACCCCCGGTCCTGTTTGCAGGTTGGCCGGGGGTACGAGCGAAAGAGCGAAGCATTACGGACTACTTTAATTTTCTTTCAATAGAGGGCGCGCCACATAAATAGTGGTCATCACCAGCGCGACCATAGAGCGCGACACCTGTCTCATATCACGGATGTCTCACTCTTGATGAACCGAAAAGAACACACTCGTTATTTGGGCAATAACTTGAACTCAAGAAATACAAGATGTATTAATTAAACTGAAAGTAAATTTCGTCTAGTGATTTTTTCATGATGTGTAACATTAGGAGATGTAATTTTATGAGAATATTGTTTAAAACGCGAAAATACAATCCAATTCCAAATAAAAAGTCAATTTCAAAGAACACAAGCTATAATGATAATCCGCGGCCTGATGGGCCATATTTGCTTGTGGCAGACTTAATTTATTTATTTAATTTTTTTTTAACTTTGCTTACCATTCGGCACTTGATGTCGTGAACCTTTCCCTCGTGCAGTTTACTCTTGAGGCATTCCTCCACCTGTCCTTGGCCTGGGGATTCCATCTGCTCACCGCATAGCTTCCTGGCGGTATCCTTGCAGACGCGGTACAGGATCGGGTCCATTCTAATGTCCAGCGATGCCTCTTGAATGGTCTAGACAAAGAGGTCAGACTTCTTTCAAACGTCATGATCTACTGTTACAGTTCTATCTCAAGGCACACTCACTGACAGTGCTGTAGTCAGGTATTTTGCCATGAGTACAAGTGTGAGTACTTTTTCCTGAGTACCGGCATGTGTACAAGGCATTTTTTCCCCATGAGTGAAAGTACGAGTACAAAAAAAATGTACTCGAGTATGAATACGAGTATGAGTACAAGTACGAGTACTTTCCACAAACAGGAGCAAATTTCAATATGTGACATGTTTTTAAGAGCTTTTGGCAGTCAAACTAGGCATTATGGTGAAACGGACCAATTTCCACTGAAAGTATTTTCTTCATACCGGCCCGACTCTTCGGGCTACATGTAGGGAGCAGGCATTAAAAAAAATAATACTCAGCTATATTATGCTGCATCTGTTTCTCGGCTTGCTGCTCACAGTGCATGCTCTGCTCGAGCTCGGGAAGGCCTGTCTCCGTTCCCTACATGTTGTCATGGTGATGAAAAAATAAATTAATCAACAGGACCTATGTTTGGATCCGTAGATGCACAAAAAGGGTATCTTCGGTGTTTTTATTTTGTTTGTGATTGCAAATATTCCTCTATATCATGGAAGCATGGATATTTCTCCATGATACACAAAAATAAATTCCCCTCCAATATGGTGCGTCGTGGTGACCGTATCATGAATATTTATCACAATGAATATTCATCGAATACGAAAGCGGGAGCCAGTGACAACGATATTTTCCCCTTGAATAAAGCGTAAAAATATAGGGGCACCAGTTACGTACGTGCACGATAATGGTGCGCGGCTGCGCGCGCCACACATCATCGATGTTTATACTCTTATTATCAGCAACTCACATTTAGCGAGATTTTCGTCTAACTTACGGCCCTATTTTCGTCGTTATTTCGACAGTTTGGTAAGTACGACGAAGATGTGGAAATCTTTATGTTCTTAAAAATCAAGGGAGGTTCAACACCTCCCATTTTTTCCATCAAAAGTTGTTAAATTTATGCAATTAATTTGCATTCTTTGTACAGTGGCTCTGAGGAGACATGATGATCCTTACTCCAGCCTTAGCCTACAATAAGCATGTGTATTTTATGTAGGGCCTAAAATTTCCTGTACTGAACTTACCTGCTTACACAGTACTGTTTACTGAGTAATCTCCTAATAATATTGTCGTTTTCACTTGTGCTGTAATTTTTGTAAGTAAGACCATGGTAAGACTGCGCAAACGCGCAATTAAAATGGTTTATCCTAATCCTTTTTATTTTTCTTTACCCATGTCCAACATGTCCAAGTATTTACTTTTTTTAGTATTTTAATTTTTATTTTGCCCAACTGAACCGGGTAATCTCATCATAATTTTTTTGTTTTAACCATCTTAATAACAGAAGTGTATAAATGAATTTGGAAAGATTCCCATATCTGGCCATCACTTATTGTTACCCTGTGCACCAACCCTATAACTTAAGTCATAACACGGAGTTTGAATTCCATGGTTATAATATAACTCATTATAAGCCGTTTCGCGGATACAGCCATCTTTGAAATCGAAGGGGGGGGGGGGGAATAATGATGAAAATACGTCCCATCATGCACCTGTAGCTAAGCATGATGGGGCATATTTTTATTATGCCCCCCCCCCCTCCAAATGTAAAAGATGGTGATATCCGCGAAACGGCTTATGAGACTGGTCTAAAAATGTGTGTTTTTTTGGTAAATACTTCAATATTTTCCCTGCTAAAATCTGACTTTTTAGGTTATATTAATCTGATGGCTGAAAGGTCACTAAAAGGGAAAAATTAGTGATGGCCAAGATATGGGAATCTTTCCTTGAATTTAAATTTGGGAATTAGGGCCTAACCATCTTCATGTAATTTTGGACATTTTGCTGTTTAATACCGATTACCAGCGTTAAAGTTATACTGTGGCAGCTCGATGACAGCCGTTTCTAGCTTTAGTGTACCGTCACCATAACGTATAGTTGACTAAGTAATATCAATAGCATGACATCATGAATACACATAACTTACCCATCAAAACACCCGATTACAGTGCACTGATTGCAAAATAAAATCAGGAGGTATATATTGCTGGTGATGGCAAAATATCAAATATCAATTTTGATATAAATCACCAAAACCCAAAAAATTCTGAGGAAAAGTGATGAGTCATTCTGAAGTTTTCCCATTTAATATTTTGATTACCAGTAAACATTTTTGTCATTTTTTTTGGTAATTAATTTCGTTTGAATTCAGAGCTACAAAGTTAACATGGAAGACTCCGATGACCTCCACGTCTGTCTAAAGTGCCACGATCAGATTGTTGGTCTGGACAATTACATTGAGCACCGAAGGTCAAGTTGCCTAGGAAGACCCAAGGAAGTTGAATCTCCTGATGATGCAGCTGGAGGCAGTAATCAGACCGGTACTATGTATAGACTGATTTGACGAACAAAATTAGAAGCTGCTTTTTTTTTTTTTGAGGTGGAACCATGTCCACACGCATGCCGCACATGTTCACACATTTTGTTAACACTAGTGGTCTAAAGAGCCCCAAGTGCAACCATATTACCTAAATAATGAAAGGTTTGCGGAAACACCATGTGTGCATAAATTCTCAACTAAGAGAATGGTTCTGAAAAGAACCAGAGGTATAAACTCAACGTTCCGGTCAGTATGCTCTGACCGTCTTCAGGAGAGTGCCTAAACTCTAAGAAAGTGAATGCTATAAGTATACTAAGTGGGAGCCTGGTTCGACCTAAAACAATGGCTTTTAATTTTGTTTGCCGAATTAGTCTATACCAAATTGTCAGAGGCCAATTTTATGGAGCTGTGCGGAAATGTGCTAAACAAGAACAGAAATGTTTTCTTAGCAGAAACAGGTTTACCAGCAGAGATATCATGCACTGTATAGGCCTACTGCTAGTGACTGGGTGACAGGCTTTGCACATAAGTTTGCTATTACATGTACATGTATGTAGATGTAGCCACATTTTCTTCATGAAATTGGGCCCAAGTTTTCAGTGTCGGACATGGTTCAAAGTTACTGACGCCACCTTTCAAAAGGGATACATGCTTGTGAGATGCAAGGAGTTCACAGAATGGCGTGATTATAATATAATAAAGACAACAACTTGTGCTCTTTTGACGACAGGATTATAAAAAACGTACTTGCCTATATACATGTCATTGCAGTGCTACATGTATTTACACTAAACTAATTGAAAATGAAGCAGTTTTCTTTTGGTAAATTGTTTCATACTTTTTCGTTTTCATTTATTTTCAGTTTCTCAGACTTCTTCTGGTATTTCAAAGACAAGTGACACAAACTCCAAGAATGGGTCTCTGGAAGACACCGCTGTTAATTTGGAAGTTGAAGGTTCAGATGAGCAGTCGACGGTCGCCCAAAATAATGGTGAAATTCGTCAACAGAAACGGAAAATAAAACGCCCCCAGAGGATTCCACAGAGCGCCGTAAAGGAGAAGTCTTTTACCACACTCGAGCGGCCTAGCCGTCCACAAAGGGTGAAACGGTCCCCATTAGCATCCAAGTTGTATGTTGTAGATCTTCCCAAGGACACTCATGAGAAGAAAAAGGCAAAATCCCAACCTCCTGCAACTGGGAAGCAGCTGCATGGACAAAAGGACTCTGACAAGGATGAGAGTGAATTGGGCACTGATGCTGAAAGTGAAGAAGAGGAGCAGGAGCAGCCCTTAAGATCAAAGAAGAGTAAGAGAGGAAGGAAGCCCAAGGTATTGTTGACAGAGGAGGAGGAGACCCTTTTGGCTGGGTGTAAGGTGAAGAAGGACTACCAGTGCAAACTCTGTAGCTTTGTGACTCCTAATAAGTATTCAATGGTCAAACACTTTCGGACCATCAAGCATTTGGAGCACATCGGCAGCAGCAACCCAGATTCTGTGTTTGCTTGTGATGCATGCCCCATGAAGTTCTTCAGTGAGAAAGGTCTGGAGAGGCATAAAGTCAGACACGAGCAACAGGGCAGATGCATGAAGTGTGACATTGAGTTTGAAACGAGAAAGGAGCTTCAGGATCATAATAAGGTAGAGCATGCCAAAAGTAGGCAGAAGGTATATAAGGGAACTGTGGAACCATGCAAAGAATGTGGCAAAAAGCTGGCAAAGGGTTACATGAAAATCCACATGCGTATCCACACGGGTGAGAGACCATTCGCCTGTGAACTTTGCCCACAGAGGTTCAACCAACATGGAGACCTGAAAATGCACACCAAAAGGCATTATGGCATCAAGGACCACAAGTGCTCGCTATGTAACTTTATCACTGTCAAGGCGTCGATCCTCAAGAACCATATGAAGCTGCACACCAAGAGAGAGCGGACAGAAGCTTGCCACTTGTGCCCACAAAAGTTCTACAACCAGGCACTTCTGAAGTCCCACGTTCGCTTGAAGCACCATCCTTGTAGGGTCTTCCTATGCACAGTCCCTGAGTGCACTTACAAGTTCAAGTTCAGAACTGAACTGGTCATCCACATGCGTAGGCACACCAATGAGAAGCCCTACCTGTGCACCGTGTGTGGTTACACTGGCTCTACCAAACAGGCCCTATCAAGGCACTCCCGCAAGCATACTGGTGCCAAACCCTTCAAATGCGATCACCCTGGCTGCAACTACATGGGGCGCGTCTCCACACATCTGACCCGACACAAGCGGCTGCATACCGGTGAGAAACCCTACAAGTGCCCATACTGCAGTTATCGTGCCAATACTCACGAGAACGTCCGCAAGCACATCCGTTCAACAAAGAAACATGCCGGATTTGCTGTCTACATGTGCAAGTTCTGCTCGGAAATGAAAACTGATCTCTACCAAGAACTTGTTGATCACATGCGAAAGATGCACTATGACGACTATGTTACCTTTGATCAGATTTCCCACCATTCAGGACTCCTTGCTGATAAGGAAACTCCTCTTGAGGTGACAATGGACCAACCAGACACCATGGAGGAGACAGAGGATCAACCAGATACCAATAAAATCAAAAATGTTATAGAGATACATGTAGATGGGAGCACTGCAGACACTAACCTTGGTCAGGATTTGCAGCTGGCAGCAGATGCTGACCAAAGCACCCAGGTGAATGTGACCGCCGAGGAGAACAGGCAAGATTTAGAGATGATGGTACGCGACGCAGACGTGGGGGAAACACAACCGAACCTGTGCAAGGAGTACATCCTCTGCCAAGTCATACAAGATGGCAGTCAACCTCAGCATCAAGGGCAGGGAGATGGGACAGAGGCCGTGGAAGGTTCGGAGGGGTCTGCAGCTGGAGACTCTGGGGAGATGCAGGAGATTCAGATGGTATCCGTTGAGGAGGGGCAAGCTACAGAGGCGCTTGAGATGATCCTGAGACAGGCTGTATCTGATGGATCCACTGGCTCCCAGGAATATATTATTCTTTAAACACCAGATAATAGCAGTTAGAACGAGACTCATTTGCATTTTAGGGGATCACCAGTATTTTTCTGATCTTGGTCGAAGCCTGGCTTTGGATTTTATTACCCTGATACAGCCTGTCTCTGACAAGCCCTGTATTCAAGCTAATTCAAGTCAGGTATGATCAGAATTTTGTGGGTAGCATTGCCAAAGTTCCCAAGACTGCATTGGATTCATCGTGTTGATAGCAACCTCTACCCGGCCACTGCAGTTGCTTTACCACGCCTGTATTTGGGAATACATGTACATGTACAACCCAAATCCAGTGGACCAAGACTGTTGTTATCCTGGCATTTGTGAAGTGCATTGCACCATCCCCGACTGTGCAAATACATATTGCATATTCTTAACGGCAAAATTTGAAGTGTCTCAGAGAGTCTGGTAAGGCGGGGGCAAGGGTTCAGCTTAAAACAAGTTTAGGAGCTTATCACTTTGTCTTTCAGTTGGTACAGCTAAGTTCAACTGCACAATGTAAAGGTAAATACGCTTACAAATTCAAAATTAAAATTGGTACTGAAAACCTTTTAATTAGTTTATGTACATGTACATGCTACAAAAATAGATTGGCAAAAATAATAACAATACTTCACGCCATTATACTAGGTCAATGCTGTCACAGAACCATTTGCAAACACATTAAATATTTGTACCATTGAACTTTTGGATGAAAATGTAAGCTGAAAAGTTGAAATGTAAAATGTAAGTTGAAAATGAAGTTGATTTCAAATGTTGATTTGTTTTTAAAATTAATCTGTGCAAACACTGTGTGTAACACAAAATGTAAAATTAACAAGTATCCCCCCCCCCAAAAAAAACCAACCACCAAAACCACACCACCAACCAACCACTGAGGGAAAGAAACAATGAAAAACACCACACTTCATTACATTTACACTATGGTCATACTTCACACGAATATGAAACTGAAGCGAATTTCATGAAGTCAACAATTCCAGTTGCATGCATTACCCAAATGAATTCGCTTCACACAGACATCCGCATGAAGAATGAACCAGTCTTAAAGATGTACAAAATGTATATTTGCCAAATGAACATTTATTTCCACAACAAAATGATCAAAACCAAAAATCAATTGCCTTTTTTTACTCTTAAAAAAGTCAAAGCACCAAAAACAAATCACATTTTTTGTATTATTATCTCGTAATTTCAAAGCTTAAAGCTATTATTCATGATGTATAAATAGGAAATTTGTGTGTTTTTAATAAATGCATTTTCACTTTGTTTTTTTATAATTGCTTTGTAAAACATAAATCTTGTTTCCTAGTAGGTCACACCTCTCTTGTTTTTCCTATCGACCAAATGTTCGTAATGTAGCAAATGCCTGCATCTTAATTGTTATGTTATATTGAGTGGCAGCGTAGTAAATAAAATTTCATAAATACATGTACCTAAGTCAGTTTACCCATTCTTTGGTTATAAACTGTTGATGAAACACCGCTGTGTTCTGCGCCACATCGTGCAGTATGAAACCCACCTGCACCAATCTCCATAAAAGGAGGTATTTAGCACCACAGTATTTATGGCACATACCATAAACTGGCGAGAGGGATGTGTCACAAAACATGAAGTAAAATTGATGAACAAAATCGTTCAAAATTTGTGAATTTATGACTTTATGACAAAAAATTATGGATGAATAGGAATAAATGTGTGCTTGGCCGGTATTAAACAAAAAAAACCCAGCTAGGAGCCTGGACGTGGATAATGCCTTCTTTTCGGATCATTATCCGCATCCAGGCCCCAAGTCGGTTTTAAACTTACTTGTGTAAAATTAGCCAATCGCATATTTATTCCTTTAGTAATGCATACATATGTACGGTACATGCATATTTGTAATCATTGTGTGTGCAGGCATGGGTGAAATGCCATTCACAATGCGAAAAATCGTAAAATTTGGTCCACAGTGAAATTTTGGACCAAAAATTAATTTTGTGCATTGTGCCTTTTTTTAATGCATGTCACGGCATGCAGTTCTGTTTTACTTATTTCTTTACTCATTACAGATGAATATGTGTAGACGTCACACTCTTAGATTAGTTTCATCACACTTGGAAATTTTAAATACATGTTTATCTGTTAGTAGTTCACTGATATTGGTTTTAATTTTTGCAAGCAACTTGATCAAGAAGTTGTATGTATATATTGAAAATGAGTGAGTAATGTTCAATAGTTATTATATGTTGGGGAATAATAATAATTCATTTCATTGCAAACTTAATGGCTTGTATATCAAATTAAAAAAAACCAAAAGTTGGAATCTTTCCTCATAAATCTGCACATTATAATTAAAGGGAATATACAACATTTGCAAACATCGAAAAATAAAACTACCAATTTTTTGCGAAATACCTTAATAGGACGTTGGTAAATGACAGTCTAAAGCATCCTGTAAAATTATGGCACCTGGTATACTGTCATTTTCAAGAAAAGTGGTATTTTTGTATCAATTTCCAACGCTGATCGGCCGATCAGCGTTGGAAACAACTGGCTTTTTTTCAAATACTGGCCCCAATTGACTATTGCACTTGTTTGCAATCGATTACAAACCTATGAACGGGTACGAGCCAGCTAGACTGGTTCCCTGACCTTACAATTCCCCAATGTATGTAAACTGCTCTGTTTCTTCTTATATGGAGTCAGGGAACCAGACTACAGGTAAATGATCGTTTTTCTTGGTTTTTATAGCATTTTCGAACCCAAAACCTCCAAAAAGTCAGTGTAACTATATTTGCTATATATTTCCAATCCCCCAATTCCATCCATTTCTGAAAATTACAGCAAAAGCAAATGATGTATATTCCCTTTAAATAGATTTGAATAAATCAATTTAAAAAAAATGTTGGTTAACGAAAATAATTGTAATGAAATGGTATTGATACCATTCATTGTAGTTACACATGCCTTAACAAGCCGATAGAAAGTTGGACAGTTACCACTGAAGCAGTTTGAATGTTTTCTTTTGCACTGCTACATGTTATGCCAGTCTAACATAAGACTAATCAGTTACAAAATACATGGCTTAGTATATGGAATAATGTTGTAGTTGTTTTTTTTTAAGTAAAGAAAAAGAAAAGTATGGACTGGTAGACCAAGATGGAGAAATGAGGAACTTTGTTAGTTTAGTAAAGTGTACTGTTCCGAGGCAGAAATAATGCTGATTTATGGGTTGGTCATATGTTAGTTATATATTTTGGCAATTCAAGAATGGCAACCATAGAGCTATATTAAATTACTAGAGCGCTAACTCATGTACAAAGTGATGCCTGCTGGGCGCATCCATGTTTGTACACAAACCTAAGGAGAACCAAAAATTGTGTACGTATTTTGTATGTCTATTTGCATATCTGCGTTTGTATGAATTCCATTCTGGTGCGTCATTGAAGCCGATGCGCCCAAAACCAAAACGTACAATTAACAAATGAGCGTGTCATTTTGCTCTATGCAAACAGCGGCACGCGTGTGTGTATCCGCTGCAGCCTTGATTAACCATTTTTTTTTTTACCGTAACACGGGTAAGAAGTTTGCCTATGTTCTACTTGGCGTTCTGTACAAACACGCACATGAATTCAAAATGTCTGCGCCCAGGACAGCTTCAAAGTGTCTCCGCGCGCAAGAATGAGGAGTTAGCGCTCTAGTAATTTAATATAGCTCTGTGATGGTTCAATAATCAGCCGTACATGTGGGTTCGTTAACTTATTGGAAATGAATGATGTTGGAAAAAACCCAGAGTCTACATGTACATCACCCGGGCTAAAATGTACATGTACATGCATGAATAAACATGAACACATTTTGTTATGTACATGTTGGTGTGTAAATGTTAATTGTATTTAAACTCGAAATCTTTGAATGAAATCACCCTTTGAGTCTTTTGAATAAAGTAAAATTTTGGTTCTAACAATGAAAGAATTTCTACTGTATGGCAATATTGTGTATTCGAGTTCTTGGAATTGGAAATCTTGTACATGTACAATGTACATGTAATACACTGACAACATGTATACATTAAAAAAATGTATTTTAGGGTAATTTACAACTTGGCCTGATGGCCCGATACATTGCTTAATAAGACTGCTAACCCAAGTCTGCTTGTCACAAGAGAATGCTGCTCCGTTAAAAAAAAAATAACGCATTTAATTTTAATACATACAATTTGTAACTAACCTTCATACAATGCAAATCATACTGGGAGAACAATTGCCTCTCCACTTTTAAAGATCCTAATTTAACTTTAACAATATTGTGGTACAATGTACATGTATATTTCGAAACCAAATTTAGGCACATGCCCACAAGCATAGGCATGGCAATACTATGTACAATGGTTCTCTTGTACATGTACTTCCGAAATTTCCCAAAAGGGAAAATTTGCTCAGAGTCCATGGACTGATTGACTTGTTCGTGGAAGGGTTAGTCACGTTGGTCAGTATACAAATAATGAATGTTTACGAGTGCAATGGTAAGAATGATTTCATGAGACAGACGGAATGTTCCATTCCACAAGGTGAAGCCGAGTGGAATGGAACATTCCATCTTTCTCCAAGTGAAAATATTCTTTCCATTGCAAGGACGTGAAACATTCATTATTTGTTTTATACAACACCTGAACAAATCCTCGTCATCTGATTGTCAGAGCCACCAATCGTGTGCTTGTGCAATTATGGAACTTTTATTTACCGTGGAATAGAACTTTATTTTTTTTTGCGATGCGAAGGGGCTGTGGGTTGGAATAAATTATTCAATGAGATGTGACTAACGACCCACCAATTCGATGATGGGGTTGCATTCAGGCGTTGTATGTAAAGTAAAGCAAAGTCTGTCACGAACCAATTTAGCTCATCAGGCCAGCGTTTATCTCCGGTTTCCTAGGCATGAAATGACCAAGGATATTTCTATCCCCCCTGGATGGGATGCCAGTCCATTGCAAGTTACTCTCCAGCTAATGCTGTTGCCCATTTATACTCCCGGGTATAGTGGGCAAGTGGGGGTGAAGTGGCTTGCCCAATGAAACGCACATTGCCAGCAGCTGGATTCGAACCCCTGAACCTCTGATCACCAGTCACAAATCCTAACCACTACTCAACACTCCTCCAGGCATTGTATATCAGTCAATTGCCAGGCAAATTTTACAGAGGTTGAAGCCTGCAACTTGCAAATTTAACAAATGTTTCACTACAGTGCATATGCATGTACCTGCACTACCAATTATGTCATGCATAAAACAGGTAATAATCCATGCACGGAACAAAACACAAAATACAAACAGATATATACAGTACTGTACAAAGTACACACAGCAAAGTTCTTATTAATTTGTTGTATTGGCAAGCTCTCTTTCTTTGCGTCCATTTGTAAACTGTCTTGAACTTTTCAGGGACAAGTAAACTTAAAGCTATAGTCCATCATTTGCAGCCATCCGAAAAGTAACTGGCGTAATTATTCTTGAAAAACAAACTTGGTTGAAAGATAGTAAGGGAACTAAACTCCCTGTGAAATTATTCTTTCTGGGAAGCTGTCATTTTGAAGTAATCAACGAAAGAAGGCCTTTCCAACGGTGCGTCTTAAGACACACCGTAGGAAAACTTAAATTAGTAGTTCGTTTTGTTATTCGGCGAAGCGCGCGCAAGCATTGGCACGACGCACACGCGCGCGCGGTTGCTATAATTCGTCGGATCAGTGCCCGACGTCGCGTATAGCTGCAATTCAAAACAATTCAAAACATGATTAAGTAACTTTTGATTTGAAATTGAGATCCTAGAATGCTGTTTTTCTCGGAATATACAGCTGAAGCTTAGCTGAAACTTCATCAGGTTAGTTGTTCAGTATCCTTCATTAGACTTTGAACACTTTTGTTGCTTCAAACGAACAAAATGCACAAATTACAATGATGGACTATATCTTTAAATCAAGGAAAAGGATTAGGGGATTTTCCAAACAGTGGCTTCGTCTGCAGCGTTGCCTTCAGTTAATTTGTTAGGCCCCTAACTTGGGGACCCTGGCTCTAGACAGGTTGATGTTTTGCGTCAGGAATACCAATTCAATACTATGAACCAAACTTTAGAGTATTTCAGTCAGGTTTGGAGTTTTGACATGAAAAAAAAAAGTTTTAAAATGACCTGAGCCAATGATGAAGCCGAAGCTGAGGGTGAAGCCAAAGTTTGGAAAACTCCCATGTGACACTCTTTGTCTTTGTACACAATTTACAGGTTACGGGGAGCAGTTTGGACTCCATACAAATGTGGAGTCTTTTCTGTTTTATTTGCATGGTGTTGAACAAGCAGGGGACAAACTTTTTCATCCTTTGGCCCATGTTTGTTTGAAGTTTGTCGTGTCAGCATCATCCTTTCTTCAGTTCGAGTGCATTAAAACCACAACGCATACCGCAGTGACCATTTCTGTTTTAGCACTTGAGCATATGATGTGCACTTCGAGCTTTGGGCAACCAAGGAAGAAAACAGGATAGCTCATCAGGAAGGTTAAGATCTCTGGTCCCCTCTGGTTGAGTGGTGGCTGTACTTAGACTATGTTGCAAAACTTTGACTCATGTGTCCCTATATGAATGAAAAGCCAAGAATAGTATGTAGTTAGTCATTTTTTTCATGCAACAAATCATGTACATGTACTTACTTGCAATACACTGTATAATATGTTCCAGTGCATGGGGGGGGGGGGGGGGAACGGGGGACTTGGCATTACCATTAAGGTGTTTATAGTTTTAAAAAGTTTATATAGAACAAAATATCTATATGTTAAGGGATGCCTCACCCTTTACATCGTAAAAACTTCGGGGTCAAATTGACCCTATGTGAGTCTATATCTGCACAGTCCCATCAGGGTAAAAAAAATGACGCTTTTCTAGGTCAAAAGGATTAAAAAAAATGTCATTTTTGACCCGGAAAAAGTTAATTTTGACCAGAAAAGTGTAAATTTTGACCCGGAAAAGGGTTGTGCAGATATAGACGCAGATTGTGGGTCAATTTTGACCCAGGAGTTTTAACAGTGATAGGCACATAAAAACATACCATAGACCCTACTTTGATCTGGGGCCCTCAGCAACCTTCAAACCCTCTGCTGATTATTTTGTGGATTTTTCATTTTCCTCCAATCTCATCCCTCGCAAATTCATTCCCCTTGACTATCAGTCCAGACAATTTCGCTTTCTGTACGACAAAAGATTTTGGAGGATTTTTGAAGGCTCCTAACTGGGTAGTTATAGAGGTAAAATGAAAGATGAAAATGAAACTCACCACGAGAACGACTTTGAAGATACCCTGCGTTCCCCTTTCCCCGGAGGACATGACACTCTTAGTCCGTAACGATCGCACATCCTCGTCTCCTCCGTATTTCCTGTGAACCGACATGAAGCGGTTTGCGTTATGGACGGACTCAAACTTCATGTACTGGCCTTCACAGAGATGAAAACGAAATCGGCAGAGCGGGTCGCCCTTTCCCTAAAAAGAAAACAGAATGGTCAAAAATATTATGCATATGATATCTTACTTTCTTTTAACCATGTATGAAGACTTGTTGAAAGGATTGTATTTGTTCCAAATTTTTCAATCTTAGGGCATGACACCGCTCCTACAGGGTGTCTCCAAAAAAGCCGAACCCTCAAAGCGTCTTTCTATTTTACAGCTTTTTAGAAAATACATCGCAAATATCTATACATATTTAGAGAGTTAAGTCCAGTAGCTTTTAAACAATGCAAAAGTCTTCCATATTAAATATTTACTAAGTTATGGCCAATTCAAAATATGTGCCAATTTCCAATCTGTCCACGGTCTCCATTATCATTGAGTTATTAGGAATGTAATGGATTTTGGGTATTAGTTGTACTTCTTTTACTGTTTTAATCTTTCTTTATTTACTTTGTTCATTTTATGTTTTATATTTTGCAACAATGGTCTTTTATCCTTTTGAAATGAATGATAGTTCTGATTTGTTAACTTCTTAGATGTTTACTTTGTTGCTCTGTCTCTGCCCTCTATACTTGGTGGCCCATTTTTTTCACAAATGCAGGTTTCAGTCCGTGTTCTTATGGTGGCAGTCAGTGTTCCTATTGTGGCAGTCAAAATATCAGTTGCCATGGACAAAATTTTCTTTCAATTGGCCATAACTCAGAAAATATTTACCCGATTGGAAAAAAATATTCGTTGTTGAAAAGCTAATGAAAGCTAATGGACTGTACTCTCTACATATTTATAGAAATTGGACTTGTGTTTTTTTTAAAGCTGTGAAACTGAGGATGCTATGAGAGGTCTTGTTTTTTAAACACCCTGTATTATCATGTTTGTCAAAGAAATGTTCTTCTTCCACTTATACTGTTGTTTCTGGATGGGGAGGGTACATTATTGGATGGGTAATATTTAATTGATTTATTTCTAATATAATTGGTACACAAGCCTCATTCCGAACAGCACTATTTTGTCAATTACATGTCACTTACGTTTGCGTAGAGAGTGCCATTCCGAAGAACAAGAAAATTCTTGGTGTTGGCGACGCACCTCAATGTGACCACATCACCCAAGTATCTTTGGACAATAAATTGAGCTGAAACATTGACAAAAAAAGATGCAAGTCAAGATACAAAACTGTGACACGCATTAATTTTTGTGTTTTTCAAGAGGATAGTGTATAGTTCAGATGGGTAATGGTTATAGTGCTGTGCTCTACTCGCTTTTCCTTATGGCCCATCACATGAATTTTACATGAGAACATATTTTGCGCAACTTTCTACCCCTCTTAAAGGGAAAATACGACATTTGCAAACATTAAGAAATAAAACTACCAAATTATTTTGAAATACCTTGCTGGACTGTTAGTGGATGGCAATCTAAAGCATCCTGTAAAATCATGGCACCTGGTATACTGTCATTTTCAAGAAAAGTGCTATTTTTGTATCCATTTCCAACGTTGGTCGGCCGACCAGCGTTGGAAAAAAACTGTTTTTTTTCTTCAAATACTGGCCCCAGTTGACCATATTTAGTTAGTCTGGTTTTGTTTGCAATCGATTACACACCTGTGAACGGGTAAAAGCCATCTAGACTGGTTCCATGACCTTACAATTCTCTAACTTCAATAAATTGCTCCGTTTCATTTTAAATGGAGTCAGGGAATCAGACTACAGGAAAATGATTGCTTTCCTTGGTTTTATAGCATCTACGAAGAACCCAAAACGTAAAAAAAGTCAGTGTAACAATATTTGCTATATATTACCGACCCCCCAAATCCATCCACTTCTGAAAATTACAGCATAAGCAAATGATGTATATTCCCTTTAAATGTATGAAAGCAACTTGACATCCCTTTTTGGTAAATCTTATTGAAAATTTCACTTCTTTAAACATTCAAAAATTTTCCATGCTTTTCAGGACAAATGAGGGTGCTATTATTGTGGTATCATCTTAGGAAGACACTGTTCAGTTGAGGGGTTTTATGTTCGAATTGTGAACCCAAATGCTCATTGAAAACATTTTGCGAGAAAATTTTGCTCAATGCCCTACTGTCACGTACTGAAACAACACCAAAGATAAGAAAATTTACAACAGCCAAAGGTCCACAATTCTGGCAACTTTTTGTGCTGAAAAAGCTGTTTCAGTTGTTGGGTACTAGGTAACTTGTTAGCCATAATCACTCTGGGAGGATGACTGCATTAAAGAGTGCATGCAGAATGATAAAATCAAAGACGTCAGATATGTAACAAGGACAGGAAAAAGAGTGGACCCCAAATTTTTCGAATGACCCATATAACATTTGACATATTTGCAGTCCGTTCATCTCTGTAGGCTAGCATAATATCGAAAAGTGGATAGGCAATTAAAGTGAAAAAATAAATACAAAAGGTGGGGGGGGGGGGCTGGGGGTCTTGTCCCCCATCCCCCTTCTGCTTACATTGCTTGCCAAAGATGCCGCCAAAGTCTATTCTACCAGACACACTGTTCACTCTTAGCAGACCACCCGTAGCCTGTGACTCTAAGTGAACAATGTTCCCTGTCTGAAGATCTCGAACCTGGGTATAAACAAACAACCAAACAACAAACAAAGATATATTAGATCAATTATCTCAATAATAAGTCAAAATTCAACAGTACATGTATACTTTTCAAAACTGCAAATACATGTACTTTCTGGCACAATTATCAGCAGGCACACATGTAAAAATGTGCAACAATATAGAACTTGACAACAACTTACAATAAATCAATTAAATTCTTCTGAGAAATAAAAAAAGATTATAAGAAATACAAAAAAAATCCCCTTCCTTCCCCCAAGCAAAATAACAAAATGGCATAAAAGGTAATATACAACATTTGCAAACATTAAAAAACAAAACTACCGATTATTATTGGTACAATTTTCAAGAAAAGTGAAATTTGTTGTATCAATTTCTAACGATGGTTGGCCAACCAGTGTTGGGGGAAAACTGACTTTTTTTCAAATACTGCCCCCAATTTACCAAATTTAGTAAGTCCACATTTTGTTTGCAATCGCTTACATATCCGTGGACGGGTGCAAGCCAGCTAGTCTGCGTGTTTTTTTTCCAGCATCTATGAACACAAAACTTTAAGCAGGTCAGAGTAACAATATTTGCTATAAAATACTAACCCTAAAATCAAACCATTTCTGAAAATTACAGCAAAAGCAAATGTTGCATATTACCTTTAAAGGGAAAATACAACATTTGCAAACATCAAAAAACGAAATGATCAAATTACCACAAAATACCTTACTGAATTGTTAGGGACTGACAGTCTAAAGCATCCTTTAAAATCATGGCTCCTGGTGGGCTGACATTTTCAAGAAAAACTGTATTTTTCCAACGCTGGTCGGCCGACCAGCGTTGGAGAAAACTGGCTGTTTTTCAAAAACTGTTTTTCATATTTAGTTATTCTGACTTTTCTTTGCAATTGAACACACACCTGTGAAGGGGTACAAGCCTGCTAGACTGATTCTCTGACCTTACAATTTCCCAAAGTGTATTAATTGCTTCGTTTCATCTTAAGTGGGGTCAGGGAACCAGACTACAAGAATATGATAGGTTGTCTTGATTTTTCCAGCATCTATACAAGCCCAAAACATGAAACAAGTCAGTTTAACAATATTATATAACATAGGCCTACTAATCCTCCAAATCCATTTATTTCTGAAAATTGCAGCAAAAGCAAATGTTGTACATTCGCTTTAAAGGGAATATACATCATTTGCTTTTGCTGTAATTTCCAGAAATGGATGGAATTGGGGGGTTGGAAATATAAAGCAAATATAGTTACACTGACTTTTTGGAGGTTTTGGGTTCGAAAATGCTATAAAAACCAAGAAAAACGATTATTTTCCTGTAGTCTGGTTCCCTGACTCCATATAAGAGGAAACAGAGCAGTTTACATACATTGGGGAATTGTAAGGTCAGGGAACCAGTCTAGCTGGCTCGTACCCGTTCATAGGTTTGTAATCGATTACAACAAGTGCAATCATGGTCAATTGGGGCCAGTATTTGAAAAAAAAGCCAGTTGTTTCCAACGCTGATCGGCCGATCAGCGTTGGAAATTGATACAAAAATACCACTTTTCTTGAAAATGACAGTATACCAGGTGCCATAATTTTACAGGATGCTTTAGACTGTCAATTACCAACATCCTATTAAGGTATTTCGCAAAAACTTGGTAGTTTTGTTTTTCGATGTTTGCAAATGTTGTATATTCCCTTTAAATAAAAGTGATAGTTTAAAATATAAAAGCAATAGTTTTTTTCAAGTTCTTCTGAGAGCGAGGTAAACATACCACCATGCCAATATTTGAGAGGCCTTGGAAACCGCTGCTGTGAACATAGGTCCCCTGCAAAACAAATATAAAATTGCAAGTATAATAAAATTCAATTATATTCATACTGTATTTAATTTATCTATTCATTTATTAGGCTGAGTAAAAAAAAAATCAGTTTCTGGTCCAGCCTTTCTGAAAAAATGACGGAGGCGGGTGCTTGTTTTTCTTCCCTTTTTTCCCAAGATGGCAGATTTTTCAAGATAGTGGATGGTTTCTTCACAGTGGACTAATTCTACATAGCTACAATGTTGTTGGAAACAAATAAAAAGACAAAATATTGACAAAATGTGTGCAAAACATATTGCACATCTATGAATTAAACAAAAAACACAAAGGAGGTGGCCTGGAAAAAAAAGTGGGTGGGGACAAGAATTTTTTTTTTTACTTAGCCCTATTTATCCTGCATGGTAATTCAAAACTGAATAACTTTAAGTTAAGAAAAACAAAAGTGACTCAAGGACTTCCTTTTGAACAGAAATGCATTCAAGAAACCTGCCACAACAAATAAAAGGAGTTGGCAAAAAAAGAAGCTTAATGTATGGATTAGATTATTGTTTTTAAACAACCATAAAAGTTATACACATTGTATCAAGTTGCATCTTTCTATATAAGTTGGGACTTTTTAGGGGAAAAAAACATCCCCCCCCCGAAAAAAACAACAACAAAACAACAACAAAACAACAACACTTAATTACCAGTGCTTTTGGCTTCATTGCAGCCGGCGCCCAGCCATACAACGTCTCCATCCAATGCTGCCAGAAAATAAGGAAAACGTTTACATAGTTTTATTCAAGAACTGTTCAATAATGCATTTTGTTAAAATTAAGGTCGGTTGAATTATCATAAAAATCTTTGTTCAAATTCTCAAAATTCCTGGGTTTTTTTATTCCAAAACATTCATATACATGTATAACTCAAAAAATGTGACTTCTCTGGGAAATTAGACAGACTAACTGAACAGGAACTAAAAAAAATAAAAATAAAAAGGTCCAAGCACAAATTCATTTTGTTCATTGATTAACATGTAGAACGATAAGAGGAACTTTCTATCACAATGACTAAATTCATTTTTCAAACATCTGGCCAACATGCATGCAGTTACTAAAAAACATAAATAAATAAATGTTCTTTATGAATTTAGCAAACAAATTATCAACGTGAGTGACCCATGCACCATGAACCCGAAGAAAAAAAATTAATGCAAACAAACTTTCATGACCTACCATACACATGCTATAACAATACAATTACAAGTTAAAAAGCTTATTTCACATTTTTTTTCACAAAACATGCATGCAACAACATCAATTGTGGGCATTAATACCAAATATCCCTGTCCAATGAACATGACGGCATGCACGGTATGCAAAGCGGTTGAAAGCAACCAACAAATTATATTTTCATCATTTTGGATCGACTTGTGGCCAGGCTCTGACTGAATTTCTCCTTCTAGAATGAAGCTGACATGTTTGTAAATTTGAACAAATATAGGCCTACTATAGGTGGCTAAGTTCCTGAAGTTGAATCCTGGAGCCGAACTGCAAAAGAAACTGAGGTTTCCATTCAGCTAATTCAAGATCCCCGCCCAGTAAATTTAGTCAGTCAACTTTTGTTACAATCGGGTAGATAATGTAACAAATATTGACTGATCGTGCAGTACATTCTACTACACTATCGGTAAAATTTTGTTACATTTTCGGTTAGTGATAACGTACAGATCTGTCAATAGTTGTGACATTATCGGTTGATGATACGTTATCCGTTGGTTATTACATTATCAGTTGTATCAAACACTGATGAGTGCTACGCTACACCCTTATTACATTCGATAATTTTTCCTAATAAGTGTTCAGCCTGATAAATTACACCGAAAAAAAAACTGCAGCACGGACTTCGCTCGAAAATTGTTAACGATGTCCGTGTTTTTATTAGCAATTTGATTGACGTCATATTCGTACTGCGAGTTAGCACGGTGGAAAAAAGAGAGAATGAAGAAAAGGTTCCTTTTCACCATTAAAACATGGACCAATGTTATTATGAATGTCAAAGTCTAACTACATGTATTATTTTGGCTACCAAAGGGACTAAAGGATGATATACATGTATGATGTATGGCTGGTTTTGTGAATTTTGAAACGAATATAAATTATAATTCATGTAAAAAAAACTATATCGCACATATATTATCACGAATGCTACTGTAACATATTCGCGTCCGTAAAAGAGGTCTCGAGCGAAAGACCACTATATTGACTCAAATGAGGCCACATTAAGGAGAAGCCTAAATAAAATATTTTACAAGTTTAATAACGTTTGAAGTCTAGTACTAGTAGCTTGTCAATAGCCTCCGCGCACTAAACCACAAAGTGCGGAATGTTCAATATTTAAGAAAAATCTAAAAAAAATAAATAAAATGCATAGGCTTTAGGTTTTCATCATAACACCGTGCAATGCTGAAGTGCGAGTGCGTAGTGGCTTATGCAGAACATGTAATTCATTTCAAATAGAACGCATGAAGATATAGGGAGATGCAATGTGTGGCATGATTACAAAGATTTGCCCTTCAGTGTATTGCAGTGTATAGTGAAAAATGTTGCCCTCTCTCTCCGGCAGGACTAAAAGGCTCTCCGGCAGGACTAAAAGCAACGACCTCAGCTTTTAGCTGGTCTACCGAGCTTGCTGGTATTACAGTAACCGGTCCGTACGTCGGAACCCGGCAACGCCGGAACCACGATAAAGTACCCCGGCTAAATACGAAGGGCAAATCTTTGAGATTAATGACGATAAAAATGTGACTTTTGAATGAAAAACTCGTCATGCATGATTTCTCCAGCGTGGTTTACATGAAGCATTCCAGTGACCGTGACGTGAGTGAAATGATGAGGACCAGACATGATGCAAGGAGTCGTGTATATTGTTTCTTCCAATAATTCTTGCACAGCAGTATGACATGCAGACATTAAGTGCCCATCCAGAAAGTCCAAATTGACGATTTTGCCCGTGGTAAAAGCACAGACAGAGGATCATTTTGCATTTATCCCGAGAATAACCTAACGAATTACAATCAAAAAGCTAACTTGGATTAAAGATCGTATACTTAACACCCCGTGGAATAATTATTATTCCCTCCTAGTCTGCCGTTATTTTAGACGAAATCATAAAATGTTGTGATTTCCGACGACCACTCAACAGACGAAATGTGGTGTTTCGTGATCGGTTGTGCATGGATTTTCACTGTTCTCTCGAAAAGTGTAATAAAAAACCACTGAGCTGAAACTTCAACAGGTTATGATTTGGAAAGGTGTTATTGGAAACGAACATAATGTGTGAAATGCAAATGATCCCGTGTGCTTTTAACTATCACTTTTCAAGATTTATTTTGGTAGAAACTATATGTAGCATCGTAAAACCTCTGAAGACACCTTAAATTGTGTGTGTGGTTTTTTTGGTCATGCATGTATTAAAATGAAGGGCAAAATCGTCAGACACCATACAGGGTTAATTTGGTTGAGTGAGTAATTGCAGCGTTTTTCCTTTGGTGCTGTTTGGGCGGGCCCAACAACGGCGTACTACTTACGCTGTACTCCGTCATTCTGCAAAGGCCATTGACAGAATAGTTTCGTCGATACTGAGTTCCAAACTAAAGTTTAACTAACATGGAAAGAAAGATGAATGGTTGATGTTGCCGACTGGAAACATGGATGGATGAAAAAAACGTGTGTACAATGTAATTTGTTCATGAAAATATTGTGAGAAAATTTGGGACAAAATCATGTTGATGGAACAGTTACTGCAAACATACTTTCAAATTCTCATTGTGTGTTTCATTGAAAAATTGAACTATTTTAAATAACAGCAAATCTATGTAACTTGATAACGAACTTGAAAGTAAAAAAATGGCTTCTCGTTACAAATTAACAATACACAGATTGATTCAAACGTAAACAAGTTATCAAACATAAACAGTTTGGGAATTTGGACTTCACACTCAAAAAGTTATCAATTTCACAGCTGGGGTGCGAAAATCTGCCAACACGAATTACTTTGCACTGATAATACATAACAGATACACTCACATTCAGTAATGAAATACTTACCAAATTTCAGTTACTCAGAGAAGCAGCAGCCGTGATTTGTGTACCCAAATGTCAGGAATATAGACCGACCGTAAAATACCACAATACAACACAAGTTCAGTCCGGAACGGCGTATTTCAGGCTCCAGTTCTCAATGCCCGAACCACGTTTGTTGGCAACAAAACATTATTGGTCGACCTCTGGTCCGCAACCCGTGGAGACCAAGGAAACCAGACAAAAAACACCCATCGATTAGGTTAACAATAACCTGCTAAGTTTACCGGGCTGGAGGTATCTTCTTTTGTTCGCCCTGGTTTTCTGTTGCTCGGAATTCTCTTTGTGTTGCCTCTGTACAATTGTACAAGCTATCAACATTGGCAAAGCCGATAATGCGTTTATATCTGTATAGTGGAACGGTTCATTCACCATGCTACATATACTACTGTACAGTAACTGTATAGTGCAATGTTGGGTTTCAGTTGCGGGAGGGCCCCATGCGTTCAGGGTCACAGGGGTAGGGGAAAGGTCCTAGTTTAGGCCTTCAGCAAAACACGCAGCTGTACACGCTTGTGGGAGTGCACTTTGCCGTTGCCGCAGCAACCAGCCTGCCTTCGGCTTTGCGGAAATTGCCATGTTGTTTACAAGCGCAAAAGAATAACTGACATTTCACTCAAGTAGAGTGAACAAAGGGGAAAGTTTGGGCAAATGGAGTGGGAGACCATTATTTGTCAAAATGTTGATTTAGACCCCTTTTACATTTAGCCGACGGCTCTTGTGAGAATTTGTCGCATTTACCCTGCTGAACCCAGTGGAAGTGTTTGTAATTTGTATCTGCCTCACAAGACTTGTTAAAATAAACTAACAGCAATGCAATAGCGGACCTAGAGCCGCCAACTAATGTTATGAAAATAGTAAAATGGGACCCCCTAGCGGGCAGGGCGTTCTTCTTATACTCAAGCGCCCCCCCCCCCTTGAAGATAGACCCGCCCCTGCAATGGTTAGGCCATAAGAGCACTGCCAGATCAAGGGCGGATCCAGAACACAATGGGGGGGGGGGATTGTGGTTCCCAAAAGTGGGTCCAAAAATTAACGGCGTGGGGTTCGGAGCCTGGGAATTTTTTGGAATTCTAGATGCTCTGTGGTGCGATCTGAGGCAATTTCTGACCACTTTAACCAAATTTTTTTGAGGAAAAGATGGTGATGTGTGCAGCGGCTGCCTTTTTTGCGACATCACTTTAAAAAAAAATTGGGTTCGTTTTTTGTGGGGGCCGTGGCCCATGTTGGCCTCTCCCTCTGTATCCGCCGTTGCGCCAAATAAATATGCATTCTTTTAAATGGCATGTTTGGTACCGTGATCATAAAGGATAACAGGCATGGTACAATTAACTACAGACGCACTACTGGACCATGTACACCAAATTTATACATGTAGTTGTGACAAATTACATACACGCATAAAAAAATCGCAGAAATAGGAAACAGTAATGATATCAGAGTAGAAATATGAATAAAACAACATAAAACCACCAATTGCAGATAAACATTAACACTTTATTTTCATATGTACATAAAGAGTAACACTGCTATTATGGTTATTGGCTTTCCAAGTGAGTTTTTCTTTATAGGAATTTGAAATTGTTGTTTCAATTTATGTAATTGGTTATATATGCCAGTCAGAACGTCTGTACCAAACATGTGTGTTCAGAAATAACTGTGATCATCCCGCCAGCCCTTCAAATGAGAAATGGAAATGGGCATACATTTTAGGGTTTTTTTCACATTGAAAAACACACCTACTTGAAGATTTGTCACTTCAAAGCATTCAAACTTCTTTATTTTATATCCGACACACTCTAAACTCTTGCATGCATCGACAAATGGATGGTAAACTTTTCTCAGTGGTGCAAAAGTTGAAAACAAAACCCTCTTTTGTTTTCTTTAGAAAGAGTAAACAAGTATACCACTAAACTATGGCCACATTTCTTTTAAATAATTCCTATTATCATCACTACAAATGAATCATGTTTTCACAAAAAAGGTTGGCATGTTATTGTGACAAATTGTCCTGAATTATGTATACAGGTGTGCTAAAAAACAAAAAACAAATACTGGTTGTCAGTGTGCCTTGTGGACATATCGCAAACCACAGTAGCCGCAAGCATGGGGGCCTGGTATATCCTGAAAAAAAATACAAAGACAACACAAACAATTAAATAAACACAAATAACACACTTGTCACACTTTCAGTAAAAAAAAACCTTTTCAGAACAGACGATAGTATACTTTTTAAAACTAAGTTGCTGTCTTTCATGAATTTCTAAGCTATTAACACAAGGTAAAACATTATAGAGTAGATTATATAGTAATTTGTGTACATGCAAATGTACACAAATCAAAGACGAGAAACAACTAGAAGCATTCAATAATACAGCCGAACTACATCATTGACGAAATGGGGGAACTGCCAACATAGGGCTGGATAGCTCAGTTGGTAGAGCACCGGTACGGTATTTCTGGTGGTCGCAGGTTCAAACCCCGCTCCAATCAATTTTAGTATATAGTGTTCAAATATTCGTGACTCGAATTGACTCGAGCTAACTATTTGACTCGACTCGACTTGACTCGACCTTCTTGACCTAATGACTCGACTGGACTCGAGTCACAAAAATCAGTGACTCGTTACAACTCTGGTCCATGTATGTTCTGTATGTCCATGTAATCCTGTATGTTAGGTAATACCAAACATGACTCTCAACAACTCTCTCACGTCAAAAACAATAATATTTCTGCCGTCCATATTTCGATATCACATGTAAATCGAGTAATCGAGTAATATTGATATATCAACGGATCCCACATTGAACTGACATTCCTCTTGCAATTTTGCAATCAAATATGCTGTGGGAATGAAAAGAACCAGTGCAAGTGCCAGAGTGAAGCATTTTTTATAGTATAAACCTTATTCTTTCCTTACGTCACATTTTAGGTGGCCTTTGGCCTATGCCAACAACCCTACATGCTTTACTTGTATGCTATTTTTCCCTCACTGTGTGACAATGATAGGCATATAGGATCAGTGCTATAGCTAAAACTGTGTTTCGTAATCAAAAGGTAGTGCATGGCTTTTCAATGTTTTCCCTAAAATGTAATATCCCCTGAGCTGCAAGTTCAACAGGTTAGGTTTTGAACATTCGTCTTTGGATTTTGTGTGGTGTTATAATTGGAAAACGAACAAAATTCATGAAAAGCAATATGATTTTATTTTGCCTTCAGTGTGTCACAACGACACCAAGTTATTTTTGACCAAAAGCAGTTCAGATGGCTAATTTCCAGGAGGACTTAAGAGGAAGATCGCACGATGCCATAAACACAGTACTCACTAGGTTGATGTAGACTCTGGGATGACCAGTTGACGGGTCGCCTCCATCGCACCAGACACTGGTTGCCTCAACCTCCTTGGGTGGCTCTTCATCAACAAGATCAATGGCAAATTTCTCATTTAGCTAGAATAAAAAATCAATAAAGTATACAAATAATAACACTGTACACACTGTCCCTTGTGGAATATCATCCCTCTCATCCATTTCACTAAAACATTTTTTTGACTCTTTGCACACAGCGAGCTAAAATATCAGCCAAAAATGGCACCCCTTAAGACAGTGATCCAATCTGTCAGCTTGAATGTCAAAACACATTGTTTTAATTCTGTTAAATTAAGGCAATTGACTATTCCGTAAAGTGAACATGTATGGGTGTGCAAGGGCGGATCCAGAACACAATTTTGGGGGGGCCAAAAAAAAATTTTGGTCCCCCCAAAAAAGTGGGTCTAAAAAATTACGGCGTGGGGTTCGGGGCCCGTCAGGGCCCCGAAAATTTTTTGGATTCTAGATGCTCTGTGGTGCGATCTGAGGCAATTTCTGACAACTTTAACCAATTTTTTTGAGGAAAAGATGGTGGTGTACTCATTGCCTGCCTTTATTGCGATGTCACATTAAAAAAAAAAAAAAATTGGTTTCGTTTTGGGGGGGGCCATGGCCCCCTTTGGCCCCCCCCTGGATCCGCCCTTGTGGGTGTGTAGATTTGAGTGCATGAAGATAACTTTGAAGAGAATACTGTTTTGATTTCCCGAAAGGCTATGAGATTAGCCATGACTGAGAGCAAATGAAGAGTAATTTTAACCATGGGTTAAGGGCATTTTGGAAGCTGACAATTGTATTAAGGCCAAAAAAAAAAAAATATTCGGTCTCTGGTCAGACCAAAGTTCCGGAATTGACGCGGCCACGCGTTTTTTATTTTTTTTTTTCATTTTTTTTCTTTTCTTTAATCTTGGATTGTACAGACAAGGTGGGTACTATTTTGCTTTTTTGGTGTCCTCATGTACATTGGTGTCCTCCATAATTTGCCTTGGTGCTTTCGATCATTTGCCTTGGTGCAATTTCCCATTCCTAGTGCTCTTTGGTAAAAAAAATTGAGGAGGTGCGGAAATAGAGGGCGCTGTTGGAGCTACCGCGGAACATTTTGGAAAAAAAAAGATTGACGCGCATGATTAAAATTGACACGCGCGCTGACCAGAGACCGACTTATTTATTTTTTTTGGCCTAACAAACCAATTTGGGCTTATTGGTAAAACAATACAGATAAGTTTGATTCAACCCTAACCCTCCTCAATCCTCCAAAATCCTCCTGCCGGTTTTGCATGATTTTAGGATTGAAGATGAATGGCAAAGATGTATCACTTTTTTTGGAGAATGCATTATGTCAAGCCAGTAGGCCATATCCTGCATTGGTTATGTTCAGCCATGCATAAATCAGCCCTGTGTTTTTCTCGTATTTCATCGGCCCTGTTTCTAAATGCCATTCGCTCTGCCTCAAACCATAGCAGTAATTGCCAGAGGATTTTGGAGGATTGAGGCAGTGGTCACCCTCCACAGACTAAATTCAAGAAAAAATAATGGATGATTTTGGAGGGATGAAGCTGAATCCAATTCTTTCTTGGTGGCAATTGGAGGATTTTGCAGGATTGAGGTTGCATCCTAGCCAGACGGCCTAGGGGTTAGGGTTACACATTTTAGTTCCACAACTTCATACTGTCAGCAAAATCAGAGAGGCAATTCTTCTGTTACAATAGCTATTTACAGGGCTTGTATTTGCGACTCTTCACACGCTAAATCCTGACTGAAAATTTTAAAATGCTAACATCGAGGGTGAAATCAAACCACTGGTTACCCAGAGAAGTTGAGAAGGCTTCAGGAATGGTTTAAATCAATAAATAAATTAATTTGCAAGACGGTGCCTGAATGCCACCCTTAAGGGAAGATACAACATGTGCAAACATCACAAAACAAAATGATCAAATTATCACGAAATACCTTACTGGATTGTTAGGGAATGGCAGTCTCAGCATCCTGTAAAATCGTGGCTACTGGTGTGCTGTCATTTTCAAGAAAAATTGTATTTTTCCAACGCTGGTCGGCCGACCAGCGTTGGAGAAAACGGGTTTTTTTTCTTCAAAAACTGCTCCTAAATTTTCATAATTAGTTATTCCGCGTTTTCTTTGCAATTGATTATACACCTGTGAAGGGGTACAAGCCTGCTAGACTGACTCTCGGACCTTACAATTCCCAAAAGTCTATAAATCGCTCCGTTTCATCTTAAGTGGGGTCAGGGAACCAGACTACAAGAACATGATTAGTTTTGTTGTTGTTTTCAGCATCCACAAGCCCAAAACGTGAATCAAGTCATTTTAACAATATTTGCTGTAACATACTAATCATCCAAATCCATTTATTTCTGAAAATTGCAGCAAAAACAAACATTATACATTCCCTTTAACTCACCTCCTTTTCCCTGTCAACGTATCTCAGTTTTCTGTAGTCTCCCTCATCGAAGGCCTGCAGGTGAGAAAGTAAAGATAATGAGTTGAGATGAACTTTTGGAAACAAAAAAAGCACCTTACAACGTAAAGTATGATGAAGAGCAACAAGTGAAACCTCATGCCACAGTGGCCACACAATGGATTCAGACAAGCAATGCACACAAAAAATATTTATGTAGAATGTTTCTAGGGTCTAGTGATGTATAAAAAAATGATATTGGTTGCCTTACAAAGTTTGGAAAAATTACAGCGTTTTTGATACCACTTTGGTGGCTGTGAACGAAGTCTATGGGGAATCGTGAAGAAAGCGTTTTCTTTAGAATACAAAAGTTTCTCTGTCCTAAATTGATTGAGTTACATGTATATGAATATAAAATTAATTGAATATATGGATCTTTAATACATGTACCAGAATTAGTACAGTACATGTACCAACGTTTTTGACATCCAGAAATTCGCATTGCATCCTGGGCATGGATGACAAACATGGGGGATAGTGGCCAATACTGGCATGCATATATCCATGTGTCGTGAACCTTGTATCTAAAAAAGGAATTTCCTGTGACTTTTCTTCATTCTGATGAGCATTAAAAAATGATTTATAAAATAATTATAGGCTATTTCATGCGATTGTGTAGTGACAGGCCTCTCTTCCTTTTTGGCCCTTTATATAGGCTCTTTTAGTCCTGTGACTTTTCCCCGTGGACAAAAACAACGGACCTCAACATGACGACCAACTTTATAAAATCGTAACTTAAAAACTACACATTCATAAGATGGAATTTTGCGTCGGGGTGATGTAAATCAAATTATGTTTTGCCCTTCACCGACGTATAAACACTGTATACTCAGTGTGTTACTTAATTTGATTTACATCACCCCGACGCAAAAATCCATCTTATGAATAGTTAATGCGGTACCCGCTGTTATTTATGTACATCAGATTCAAACCAGCCAACTGATCCCATTAGCTCGGTGGCCGAGTGGTAAGACATCTGCACTAGAAAGCAGGAGGTCGTGGGTTCTAGTCCCACCCAAGTGATTTTTTCCAACTTTCACTCGGGAGGTAACACACTGAGTATACAGTGTTTATACGTCGGTGAAGGGCAAAACCTAATTTGAAAAACTACACAGGTTACAAAAAAGAAATTTACCCATCATAATTCCTAATATCTTCAGGTTATTCCAGCCAGAAATCAATGAAATCGGACTATATGTTCTGAAGATATCGCTGAAAATGCAACGCAATGCCTGAGGTGCTCCATTCGTGGTGTGTATACCTCTGTGCGCATCCGGGTAATCTGCACTTTGGCCCGATTTTGTGGACTTTTCTCGACTCGGACAAAAAGTACATGTATAGACTGCTTTTTCCCCCCGTTTCTGTGCATTCTGATTGGTCAAAAACCTACCACGTGACCTTACTTTCATTCGGGAATCTCCGATAAACTTTGTGTGTGAGATTCAAAATCGATCGGCCATTTTGTAAATGTTTGCGATGTCAAAATACATGTAGAAATTGTGATGAAAATACGGGCAGAAAGCCAGCAAGAGATTGTGGATCTAACTGAATGTCGGTAACAAGCAAAATTAGACATTTGAGCTTCATTTCAGAAACTTTCACGATATTCTGATGTCTGTGAGCCAACGGAAATATATAGTTTACTTTCGGATCAATGTTTTGAGTACTGAAATTGAAAATATCGTTGTGCAAATCCATTGCGAGTGAACACAGCATGCAAGAGCAGATCGAGCTGTGTCAGGGACAGTTGACGTCATGCGGTGTTTGCTTATAGGTCAGTGTAACATGGACAGTGTGCCACGGCTAAATAAAGGGGGGAAAAAAATAAGATTAGGTACTGCATTTTTGTTCACAAAAAGGCACCAGTATTGTCTTCAAAAAAGTGATATATATCTCCACTTCTGAACTCTGAAGTTCTGGTCATCGGATTCCAAAAATTCAAAAGTGTTCAATTTCTGAAAGCCAGCCTGACATCTTGATGAAAATGCAATTTTCTTGTAACACATTTTTCAGTTGAAGCCAAATCTTCGCAGTTTTGTGCTTTCACGGTATGTCGCAGTGATGGTCATTCAGTCATTGTCTTGCTTTCCAAGACAACGCATCAGATGAAAATTGAACCCACTAGCGGCGCCTGAAAGCGGTGCGGTACCCACACACATCACGCACACAGATTTTTTTATTGTCATCACTCGATGCATTGCATTTGCATAATAAACCACACAACATGGACGACAGCCGTTGGAACTGGACGGTTTTTGTGGACAAGCCACTAAATTCATCAATATTTTTCATTTGTAAGTTTTTTTTGTTCTTGTTTCAAGTCGATCATTAGCTTTGTGAATGATTGCTGCATGGTTATGAGGTAGTCCGAGTAACTAGGACTCTACGAATCCCCTTTTTTAACGATAGTTCGGTCCGAGAATCATAGCCGTATCGCGTTCACCAATAAATTTTTTTGGCCATTTTCACTCGTACCCCCAATGAAAATCTTCAGATTTCACCCCCAAAACAGTCTTCAAACTGCCTTATGCACCCCTGTAAGCTTCAGTGGAAATTAAAAGTAACATTTGTATTGAGGCAATAAAATTAAAAACTATAAAGTGCGTATGGAGATCCAAAAAAAACCAACACGCGCTTGAGATCGCCTTGCCTTGTTACATTTTTACAAGAAAATGCTATAGGGACCGAGCTGGTTGTGGACCGAGTTGGTCACGAACCAATTTGGTCACGGACCGAGTTGGTTACGGACTGAGTCAGTCACGGACCGAGTTGACCGGCACCCGCTGATTTCTACACCAATAATCTGTAAAATTGCAAAAAGGGTGTCATTAGAATTGAGAAAAGGCTGCTTTTGATTGTAAAGGTGATTATTGAGCAATAAAAAAAAACATTTTTGACTCTTATTTGATCTAGCTCTACTGAGTGGAGCGTTGAACTACGGTACCCTCCGTACAAACGCTCCACCGATTTGGCATACTTTGGTGACAGGTACACGGTCGTCATAACGGTATGCATTTTGTGCATGCCCTCGCGACTACAAAAGGCCCCAAAAATCTCATAAAGAGAATTCAAATGAGAAAGACAGTAACCCTGGATAGATCCACACATTCATGACATTCCATAAGACCCCTTAAATTGTTCCAAACAACCGGTAATTTTGAAAAAAGAACAAAATAGTCTGAACTTACCGCTCACAATTAAATGTGTCTGCCGAGTTGTACAGTCCATTTCACTGACATGACTGATGCATAATTCATCGCGCGCGTGTGTGACGTCACTATTGAAGAAAAACAAGTCGTGCTTAATCAATGACTGTTTCATGTACTGATATGTGTCCCGCGCCAAAAACCCACACTGTCAGACGGCGCAGGGCACATATGACTACATGAAACAGACGTTGAGTAAGTGCAACTTGTTTTTCTTCAATAGGGACGTCACACACACGCGAGATGAATTATGCATCAGTCATGTCAGTGAAATGACTGTACAACTCGGCAGACACATTTAATTGTGAGCGGTAAGTTCAGTCTATTTTCTTCTTTTTTCAAAATTAACATTTGTTTGGAACAATTTAAGGGGTATTATGGAATTTCATGAATGTGTGGATCTATCCAGGGTTACTTTCTTTCTCATTTGTATTCTCTTTATGAGTTTTTTTTGGGCCTTTTATCCTCGCGAGGGCATGCACAAAATGCATACCGTCATGACGACCATGTACCTGTCACCAAAGTATGCCAAATCGGTGGAGCGTTTGTACGGAGGGTACCGTAGTTCAACGCTCCACTCAGTAGAGCTATATTTGATCAAAACAAAACAGGGGCCCTTCACTTCACAATCGCCAACAACATGTGACTTGTGAGTATCACTAAATAAATTTATTTGAGGAATCAAATGAAAGTCAACTGGTTCACAGCCCAATAGTTTTGTGCACAAATTGCTTGGTATGTTTGTCATCCATACTGCTTGCAAAGATGCATTGCGAATATCAAAAAGGTTACAATTAGTTTACTTCACTGTAAAATATAAGTTTTACTTTACTTTTAATTGTAAAGAGCGCCATCTAGAGGCCACTCTCGAAAACAACTGGAGGCGTAATCCGGGGGAAAAAAAAGAATCGGTGAAGAATAACGTAGTTTAGCTGCAACAAATTCAAGTCATAATACCTGCCCAGTATGTGTTACTTTTTCCGTCACAGCAAAGCATCTTGAACTTGCCGAAAACTGACGCGGAAAAGTTTGAAAACGACAAAATTGTGGTCGCAGACAAAGTCTGAAAACGGACCTGAAAGCCGCCATCTTGAAATTGGCTCAGTCTCGTTAAAAAAGTTATTTCTACAATTGGTTAAAACTCATGTGGTCTTCAAAGTTTAACTTTTAAACTATTTTATGTAAATCTTAAGCTAATTCAAATTTTTTATTAACACATTATTTGATGTTTTAAGTTATTTATTTGGTCTTAAATAAAGTTCAAAATTAGATAAATTCTGTGAAATTCAGTCAGGCTTCTTGTCAAGGTTTTCATACTGCGCAATAAATACGTTGATCGAACCCTGGGTACACTGCGTATGCGTGCAATTCGCATTGGCGGTGTTCAAAAACAGAAGTTGACATGCTACCCTGAGAAGACAAAGTTTATTTACGTTTACGTCGATAACTCAGCAGGATCCATCAGTCTGGATGTAATGCCATGTTTTATATGAATTTTTGAGATTTTTTTAAAGTTAAATTGTATTACTATTAGTTTGATGATAGGGGCCTAGGCCTAATTAATTATATTTTGTATTTCAGTCTGGTACATGGCCTGATGGCTGTCATTACTGGGCTAGGCTACCTCCGTACTCAAGACGGCCACACACTGCCAATATGCCGTCGGCCCGATTTCACGAAACACTACGAGTACGCTGCGTCGCAACTTGAGATACGACGTGTAACGTAGCAACTCGCGACGCGTTGTACAATCCATTTTCACCAAACTTGTGATGTGTTGAACGCATCGTAAGTTCCTTGACAACGGCTTTAAACACATCGCTAGCTACGGCGTGAGTGATGGTCATCGCGAAATAAGAAGCGTCCATTTTTTACCCAGTTTTATGCTGTAAAATTACATAGACGAGACTATATACCGAGACAGTCATGACAGTGTGTGTAACTGTAAAGTTGCAAAAGGAAAATGCATTGAAGTAATTATTGCTTAGCCTGGAATATTGCAGTTTAAATTCCAAAGTAGCTATCACTCCTGCGCGAGCTTGTTTTCCGTCAAAACTGCATCACACGTTCGCCATTTTGTTTTACGTTGTAAAAAGTTTTGGAGCGGAGATCTGACGACTCTTTGTTGACTATCACTGCATCAGACGACTATTTGCTGTATACGATGCATCACACTTACAATGCGTTTTGTGAAATGAATCGCAGGACGCTTCGCAGTTGCAACGCATCGTAGGGATGCTATGCGTCGCAGCGCTGCGATGCATCATAAGTTACGATGAGTTTCGTGAAATCGGGTGCTGTGCATGGACGGTCCCGTTGCTAGGGGAGCCGAAAATCAATTTGAAATCACAATTATTTTGTCACTTTATACTCACACAATGCCGTCTACAACTGCTTAATACGTTAAATTCATTACCTTCAGAGGTTTAGTTATCTTGTAATTTCGGCTTGAATTCGGACGACTTTCGGCTACCATTGTTCACGAAAGCGACATGCTGCAAATCGCGCCCTCACTAGCTTGCATCAATTTTGACAATGTGCAATGGTACGGCTGTTGCCTGTCATTCAGTATTGGTAAAAAGTGCACGCATATTCAGTATTGGTAAAAAGTGCACCTGCATGCATGCACTTTTGACAAATACTGAATTACAGGTAACAGCCATACTGACGCACTTTTGCACGTGGTCAATTCCCAATGCATCAATCTCAGAGCATTGTACAATGCTGAAACATTACAAATGAACTCAATCTGTTTGTCGCTATAACATGTTACATTTGAACACTTTTTTGACCCTCAACCAAGCTAAAAATCAATCACATTTCTTAACAGGTTTTTCTTTTGTTTTTCTTCCAGAGATTGATAAAAGATTCAACATGTCGATACTGAGATCGGTCGCCCCTGTGTTGGGCAGAATGTTCCAACGAACGGTACACACTGGCACTCTGCTGGCCAATCCAAGCTTCAGCTCAGTACAGCACAGCCAACTGGGAGGGACTGGCATCTCAAAATGCCTGACTTGCTCACAAGGTTCCGTCCTCCGTAGTCTGCTGTTAAGGGCACCATTGCCCCTGGTCCAGATGACAAACTCTTTCAAGACCAAATCATCCGTGAAGCGGCGGTGCAAGGACTGCTATTTCGTCAGGAGGAAGGGCCGCCTGTTTGTCATATGCAAGACCCATCCGCGCCACAAGCAGAGACAAGGATAGCGGGAGCGTTGTTGAGTGGCTTGAGTGGAGACTACACGTGGATGAGACACAGCAGACAAGTGAATGTGGGGGAAGGACATACAGTACATGTAGTCAATAGATACTGGTCTCACCACCAGTTCACTTTAGCTGTTGTGAACAGAGTACACGTCAATCCAAATGCAAGAAACACTACATTCTTAAAGTGACTGTGACCCACGCAATTACACCATGCAGAGATACAAACAAGTTTGAACACCACAGCTGTCAAAGTCGAGGCATCAAATGGTGACTTCAGGCGACCTCTGAGACGGCGAGGGTACACATGTCCTATCAACTTTTTGGTCATACTCTGACCCAGGGCCCTGACCTGAAGTTAACCCTGTTCCTTAGAATGTTTTTTTTTTTTGCTGGGAAATAACACTGAGCAACATAAATAGAAAAGGATCACAAGGACTATATGGCATCCTCTGTTGTTTGTAGTCATCTTTCATTACACCTGTCACAGACAGCAGTGAAACTAGAAGGCCTAATTTTTCAGGCAGTGAACGTCCAAATTCCCTTCAGTGCATCATGTCATGTGTGTGTATTAAAAGCAGAGAACTCAATTATTGTCTGGCTGCAAATATTTCAAAGTTTGTAAAGTACAAACGTGGGCTGATTGTTTTCATCCAATGCTTTTGTATTGCTACCGTATTGTATTGTGAGAAAGCAATATACATGTACACCAATGATAATTCTGTAGGGTGTTTGTGGACAAGCTGCGCCTTTGATTCAAAAGAAATCTTCCAAAAAAAGTTACTGGAAAAGTTCCAAATGTGCCATTCCTTCGATTTTGGTGGTATAGTCTCTAAAGGCCAGCCTCAGGTCAACCTGTGATTTGCTTGCGTTCGTCGATAGTATCTGTGATAGTATCTGGCAGCTAAAAACATAAACACAAGCCGCGCATTATCAACACTATTAACAAACACCTTGACCAGGCTAGTTCTGTCGAGACGCAAGCAAATCGCAGGTTGACCTGAGGCCGGCCTAATGCAATGTGTGGACAGCGTCGGAGGGTATAACGTATTCTCATGCTTTTGTGCAAAGGTCAGGTTTACTCAGAAAAAATATCAAGTGTTGTAGTAATTGTACTCGGTACCCGTACAACTCAGTACCCATACTCGAGTACAGCTGGAGTACTTTTGAGAATACTCGGCCTCAAATCCACAGTTCTTGTACTTGAGAAGCAAACTATATGTACTTGGACCTGACTATTTGACAACTTACTCAATCATCAAAGCACTCGTACTTGATTGTAAACTCGGGAAAAAATTGAGTAATTTAGCCTTAAATGAAAAAGGAATCTCTGGAGTGTGGCAGAATTGGCTTTCAAGGAGTCTTGCGCAAAAGTAGTCCATAACATCCATGTACATGCAGCTGAATTGGTAGTTTCAGTGTCCACTCATTACTTGAGATTTTAATTCTTTTGACTCGAGTACTCCAAAAAGTACCCATACTCGCTGGTCCAAGTACTTTTAATCTGCTTCACAAAACTTGTGTTCCAAGTAGTCCGAGTAACTTGGACCCAACTTATCGCCTTTTTAACTATGTTCCAAGCACTTGGACTCTAGTACCTGTACTCATTTTTGAGTCAAACTACTCGGATGCGAGTGCTACTCGATAGCTTGGTACTCAGCAGTACTTAGTACTCGTATGAAAGTGACCGACTACAACACTGAATATTTCTCATTTGTCTTAATGCAAGTAACCTTAGGGTACCTAATATGCTGGATGTACCCCATTGTATTGAAAATATCTCATGTTCAGGTTTGTTCTCTTTTGAATCAATAGCGCCCTCTATTGGGAAGAGTTAGTCATTTCAAAGCTAAGCTCTTTGGATGAGTGGTCTAGACATCTGCACTAGTAAGTGGAGGTTGTGGGTTTGAGTCTTACCCAAGCAAGGTTGTGAATCTTTTCTCATGGGCTCTTGGACAGTGTTTTTTTTTGGCTTCTGATTAGAATCCTATGACAACAAAGACATTGACCAAATGGGGAATCGCCAATGTAGGGCTGGTTAGCTCATTTGGTGGAGCATCAGAATGGCAGCGAGTCTGGAGGTCGCAGGTTCAAACCCCACTCCAATCAATTTCTTTGTTTAACTTTAAATTATAATTATGGCCAAACCAAATGTTTGAGATCTCATCCTAAAGCGCCTTAGAAGTGGTTATGTCAAAGGCTACAGGTCACGCATTGCCAGGGCCACAGGTTCTACATAAACCTGGCCTTGCGTAGCGATAGCACGGTGCCCACTTTTTTATCCATTGGAAAATAAAATAGCGGCATCTGTCTTGTTCAGAGTGATGAACACAGTCAGCTATGAAGCACTATCTCAACTAGAAAATCTTCCCCTTCATGCTAAATTTACGGCAAAAATGGCAGATGAGACATTGTGTGGAACGGTCGCTATTGGAGACTACCCTGCATGACGTAACACTTCTACTGCATATTGCACTATTAATCTCAATCTATTTTGTCATAATATATATGTAGGCATCATTCTCCTATTAAAAAAATTGAACTATACTTCTCACTCATCTTTTCAGATTTGTTAACATTTAACTGTGAGTACAATAGGTTTTCAACCCCTATTGTTTCATAGGAGTTTGGAATTCTGTATAGGTGATGGTTATTGTGATTGAATTAGCTTCCTTGCGCCTAACAGGCTGCATCGAGCTGTATACTCCCCAGGGAGCTGAGATGGTATATGGAATGTTTAATTGGCCCAATGATCAGGGGTAATAATAATGTAAAGCGCTTTGATCTTAGTTAAAAGCGCTATATTATAAGAACCTGTTATTATTATTATTATTAGTATTGCAATAAGATCAGTCCTGCTGAGTGCATAAAATGTATCTGCTGCCCTCTAGTGAAGATTTCAAGACAGTGAATCATGTTTTAGGGGTGATAAGTTACAGAGCACATGTCAGAATATCCTTTATTAAAAATTTGATTACATGTTCTTTAACGTTTTCAGGACTGCATTTTTCTTGTACATGGCATCATAATTGATAGTTCTAATACATCAGTAAAACCCTTCACATAAATAAACACATGGTCAGCCACTTTTTCTCCAGTTATTTATTTTCCATCATTCAACAGTCCCAAATTCATAATTTAGTTCCTTGATGTCATCACACAGGAAGTAAATATTTGGTAAATATGTACACGACATGTTAAGGAACAGACACAACATTAATAAATAAATTATTAAATACATAAATATTTACAGTGCGTAAGGCCAACACAGTCCTGTATATATACAAGGTAGGGGCAGAATTCGGCAGGACAAGTTGAAATTTTTTTACACAATGAAAAGTGTTACCGTGTTCATTTCAGAAGCACTGATGCAGTCTTTGCTGCCAAACTTGAGTCATTTCAAGACCAAAATTATTCAAGTTGAAGGAAAATTTTCAGACCTTTTGAAGTTGCATCTGATTGCCAGAAATTCTTGCTTAAAGATGCGTACGCCCATGCTTTAGAAAATAAAAAATAAATAAAAAAATTCTCCTAGCGATGTTTCAATATGTATGTTTAACATCTGCACCGTTTTGGGTATCCGCAACCCTCTGAAATAGGAATTCATGTTGCACACAAATGAATCCACACTGCAAGAGCCAAATTATTGTCTGGCAGCCAATGATTTGATAATAATTCAGTTATTAAACGTCCATAGATTTGTCCCTTTGATGTCTCATTCCAAAGGGAATCACATGTTTTTTTTTTATATTTCTTTCTTCCCCGAGGTGAAATTTTAAAGTTGCAAGGGGAACGCATCTTTAAATACCATTGCCTTTGTGATATTTTTGAGCAACTTCTAATTAATGGGCGGGTAATTACTCTTGTACTATAAAGGTGGACTATTTTAAAACTTCATGTTGGCTATAAAATACTACAACTAAAAAGTCCCCAAATAAAAGTTTGTACTTTATTTGACCAAAAAGTACTCGAATTATAGCTGATACATTTTTGTACATAAAGACAAAAAAACAGCTTATATTGCAGTTGGGAGTAAGAAAATATGACCAATAAAAAGCAATAAGCCATTTGCGAGTAACCTATACCCTTTGGGATCTACATTTGAAAAACATCTGGTACACTGACTTGCTCAGAATGCTGTGGCACATGTTAACTTTGAATTCTCCAGACCAAAGACACTGTTGCTAATCACATGATTCGGGGCAAGCTCTTGCATAGTTACGTAAGAGATGCTCAGCACCAATACATTGTTCACAATGGGTGAGAATGGCACAAAGACACCAGACCAAGCCGGAGCTGGGGGTTGTCAGCGTAAGGCTTGCCCCGAATCACGTGATGTAGTAACAGTCTCTTTGGTCGGGAGAATGCAAACCTAAAACGTGCAAAGCACTGGATTAAGTCAGTGTTCCAGATTTTATTCATATTTAACTTGCAAACGGCTTATTGTGTTTGAATCTTTTAAAGGGCCAACTTTGCAGGCCTTTTGGGGAAAGGGTTCTTTCACTTAAAGAGTGCTTCGCATGTGCTGGACATGAAACAGCCATTAGGCATGTGTGTGTGTGTGTGTGTTTTAGATGCCGTCAACAGATGTGAAAAGATACCAGAGGATGATGACATAAACAGTTGCATCAAAGGTCTCTTGAACTACAAATATTGTTGTGGATTGCTTTGTGTTCTCTTTTCTCCACCCCATGTAGGTTATGGGTTGTGTGCACAACATCGCCCCCTAGTGCTGAAAAAGGCAACAATTGGTGCAAAGTGAGGGCAGCAAGCAATTCGTTTTTTTTCTGTTGTGTACCATGCTGCATTGTGTTCATCTCCCATAACACTGGCGAAGGGCCCACACTGATGCACGCGTTATGAGACTTCGCACATCACATTCAGTTTAAAAGATGCATGTGTACTGCGTGTGGTTCTGTGTGTGGGTTTGCATCAGAACCAGGTACCCGAGCATGAACGCTGATGTCTGACCGGTTCCAGATT